CAACATCACTTTATCCAGAAATGCAGCAAAAATAATGTCTATTTATATTCAATACCACACACTCAAGAAGACACTGTTACATTACATGGTTGGTGTCGAAGGATCTGAAGACATTGTCCATGAATGCGGATTCTTCTTTCGTGGATTTGCTATTTATTCCGAATATTTTCTTGAATTCGTGCAGGTGCAGGTGTCCACTCGGACAATCGGTGGCAAATTTGAGGTAGAGTCCCTGCATGTTTTGGAGAGTCACCTCCTTATCTAAGTTACTCGGTCTTTGACCCATATTTTAAGTGAAAAAGCAGCAAAATGAAGTTAAAATAAAGGAAATCCTAAAGACAAGTTGTCATCCACGTTCTTCCCCTTGCAGTAAACATCATTCATCTGCAGACGACCCACCCAGAGCTATTCAAAGTTGACCTGCAAAATCCAATTGACTCGGTGACCCTTTTCAAATCCCTCATAAGAAAACCTTCATTCTTCAAACTCTGCTCTTCCAAAAACATTAAAACTCCATTGCTTTGAAGAAAAAGACAGATCAATCTTTACTGAGTATTAATAAATGAGCTTGTAAGCAGCAGCCTCTTCGCCTCTTTGACAGAAACAGAGAGAGAGGGCGTTGCCCCCTGAAGGCAAAATGCCAACGCTGAGCCCTCAACCAGATTAAAAGCATTTGACGTCAAAGCCGTGAAGATTGTGGTCCTCCTGGTTAAGACTGTTATATGCTGTGGTCTGCACACCTTACACAGCCTTAGTGCCTTATGCATGTAATACATAAGAACACACTTCACTAATTAATGCTGCTGTCAAGAAGCAAACCCAAAAGCCCCCACTGTGCACCTGTTTTAACTTTACACAGTAATTCAGAACCAGGGCATTAATATCTTAGGAGCATAGGATAACAGTTATTTATATAACAAATATGAAGTAAAAGTAAAAATGTGAAATATAATATTATTAAAAAAATATGTATTTAAATATATTAAGTTAAAGTACAAATGTGGAATAAAATAAAGATTACCTTAAATAGGTAAACAACTTTTAATTAACATAAACACTTAAAGTGGAATACAATAATACAATTAGTTGAAATAGAATATAATAAAAAAGACTACAAATATTGTACTTAACATAAATAAGTAAGTAGAAGCAATACAAGGATAAAATGAATACAAATGGAATAGAAATATTTAAATCAGAAGCTTAAGAAACAATGTGGAATAAAGCAATTATTGAATACAAATATTTATATAATATATATATATTTATAAGTAAAACTTTGCAATAAAGGGAGACAATTCATTTAAATAGAATACAAATATTTATATAGACATAAGAAGGTCAAATAAAAAAGTGCATTCAAATACAACATAAAATACCATTAGTTTCCAATTGATTTCTACGTAAATTGAAGCTAAGAAGAATTTTCTTTTGGGCAGATTTACACTTTCATCATCATCATCATCTTTTATTTAAAGAGACTCTTGGTCCATTATTACAAAAACATACAACACTCAAATATAAATTATAAATATTAATTAACTTTGTATGCAATTTATTTCTGATGTATTTATTAGAGCATTGTTCTATGGTAATGTCCACTACACCAAGGAATATACTGCTAGTATTAAGATGAACCACTGAGGCTGTCAAGTTCATAATTTACATGGGACGAAAACGCTCTGACGCTTCGTCGATGCCGTCGTTATGCAGAAGTGGGCGTGGCTAAACGTCAACTGGTTGGAAACGCGACAGACGCTTCCGGGATTCTGTCACAGTGACAGAACTGCGCATGCGCACTTCTCCTTCCAGTTGTCTGTTGACAAACGTGACCCAGGAATATCTCTGCAATTTCGTCGCTAAGTGGAATAACAATGCATTTTACCGGGATTTCCCCAACGTTGTGAGGTGTGAGGTGGATCCTTAATGAAGTTTTGAATCCGGTAAGCACTTAAAAGTGACATTTAACGGGTTAAATCTTGCTTGACCGAGCTAATTTCTCAAGTGGACAGTCAAAGATGCTAGCTAAGTTAGCATGTCAGCAAGATAAAGTTAGCTAGCTGGATTAACGTCAGCTATATCTGGTATTTTTGAAAATAACTGCCCGACTTTCTCGGTGACGCCTACCCCAACTCATGAGGCCCTTTTCTGGGGGCAAGTGTGATGCATTTGCGGTTTAAATGAGCCGTGGTACGGGTTAATAAGTCGGGCAGTATAGCATTTTGGAGGTGCAAGCTAGCACATTAGCAAACGTCGTTTTGAAATGTGATTTAAAGGGATATTATTTTAGTTTTTTAATGCAAATAATTATATAAACACAAGGAGTTCGAGTCAAAATGTCCAATAAAAGAATACAATAACATTGAAATTAATATATATCCTTAAGAAGTTTAAGTACAAATATGCTCCTCTTTTGCTATTCACAAATAAGTGAACTCATCTTGTGTAAATGAATTGCATAAAGAGTGAGGATTACATCGCTCATTCATTTAAATGCATCATCAGTCCTACTCTTTAGAGACTTAACCACAAATGGTTTGTATTATGTTAACCATAAAATCACTAATATTCATGAATCTGTACATTATTTGACATTCAATGTCCTCCAAGCTACAAGCTAACACTCATGTGCAACTGTTTTAGTCACAGGGTAATGTGCAACATAATAATACGATACAAATAGTATAACATATTTTTCCAAACACAAGAAGTCAAAGAAAAAATGTGGAATAAAAAACACAAATATTTATATAAACCCAAATAATCTGCTAATTTAAAATAAATGAGTCCCCAGAGTAACATAGTGTATAAGAAGAACGCTTTATTTGTATAGCACTTTTCATACTCATGATGTGTCACAAAAACACAAGATGAACCGAAAACAAGAAGTTACATACAGTCTATACCCTTTTTGCACACATGCAGCACACATGATATATATATATATAAGATTTAAAGGAATACAAGAAGGTAAAATAGTCAAGAGAATATATCAGTAATCGATAAAGTAGTTCATTTATCAACCATAACAGCTTCTGTTGAGCTTGTGTGCTTCTTTTCACAAATAAGTAAGCTCATATTGTGTGTGTGTAATAAATTGCTTCAAGTCGTTTAGAATTTCTGGAAATATACCAAATATCCACATTGTTTTAAAGTGTTATGCAGCTGAGGACCAGTCTGACCTGGTTTACCTGCATCACGTGGGTATGGCTGAATGATTTGGCTGGTAATGCACCCCGTGTTTTAACAGGCCTCAAGTCACAGTGTAATCTCCTGGTTGTTTGGATACTAGCTACAATAATTACCTGTCTGTCAGCCTGCTTTTAAACATGGTTGTGTTTTCCAGCTGCTGTTATTTAGCCTGAACCCAGCTCTACAGAGTGTGTAAATGCTTTATGGTCATGTCTCTGCTTGGCCTACATCCCACACTTGAACGACTTGATGATCTGACCTGAAAGCCTGTACTCCTTAACTGCCATTATCTGCTGGCCTCGTGAGCTTGTAAATATTTTAAACCCAGAGAGAGCGCAGTCTTATATTGCCTGCAATTCTAAAATGGAAGAACGGCTCATTTAATGGCTATTTAAAACGCAGCGTCAGTCTTTTAAGAGGTTGTACCATCCTCAGTATTATCCTCTGTATTATACTGATGCCACCATTCAACGTCATGTATCAACAACATGTAATGTATAACCATTATATGTCCTATATATGTAGGTCATATAATGTATATATGTCCTATATATGTCAACCATTAAAATTACACATGTTCATGAATAGATGCATTTTGTTACCTATAATGTCCTGGATCTACAACATGACAGAATTGTAAAGTGGAATAAATACTAAACCAGTTTATTTTTATTAAGGAATTTGCACCACATCAAAAACATTTGACATAACATAAACCCAGTAACATTAAATATAGTTGAAAAAACTCCAAACCAGTCATAAATGTAGAATAGAAGAAAATCCTAAGAATACATAAATACAAATTATACAATGAAAACATGAAAAACACAAAAGAGCTGTGAAGTTCTTTTAAATCTGTACTTTTATGTAGAAATGTTCAGTATTGTATCGGGAATGTGCAAATAATTACATTTTTACGGATTCAAAATGATTTATTTACTGTGTGTTTTTAAGGTCTAAACTGAAACCATGCTGAAATGGTTTTCCGCTGAAGAGGGAGAGCCTGGATCTGCAGTGAGTATACCTTCTTATCTTATTATGTACATGCTTGTAGCCTCATATTTCCATATCTGATTGAAATGGTTTGTTCTTGAACTAAGCTCACTGAAGAAAAACGTAAGTGTGTTTCTGAAATTTCAACAAAATGTTGCTATGTTCATGAGTTTGTGGAATTGTTTCACACTCTGTTCCTAATCACAGCGATTCCTCCACTTAAATTCAGTGCAGAGGAGACCATGGGACCATTGATTTAAATCAGTATTGACAGTGAGAACATTACTCAGCCCTTTTCAGCTATAATATCATGTTACAGTATCTTTCAGCCTAACTGTAATTAGCTCAGAGGAAACCCAGCCAAAGCTTGGCAGTGTGTTTCAGGTCCAGATATCTGCTGAGCCCGGGACTTTGTCTGAAACAACCAGAGCTCTCACTTCCTGTGTGTGTGTGTGGGGGGTCGCCGCTCCAGACTTAATCCCACTGCGCCCTCATCCTATTGAATCTACCTATAGAGTCACGCCTATGGAGAGGTGCAGTGATGACGTATTTTTGTAGGCTGACCCTGAAGGCAGCATCTCTCTGGTTCCCTCTACAGTGGGAATTCTTCCATGGATTTTGGATTATTGCAGAAAATAATCTTTGAGTCAAACAAACGTTTATGATACTTACAAGTTTAGTTCAGCAGGATGATCTCCACACATTAACACCACTTTGTGATTTTTGAAGTAAAAAGCTAACGTTAGGCTATAAAGAAACGAGAGCACGGTCACATGACTTCACGTCACCACCGCTAAGCTAAAGGTGGCTAATGATGGGCTATAAAGGAACTACAGCACGGTCACATGACTTCACGTCACCACCGCTAAGCTAAAGGTGGCTAATGATGGGCTATAAAGGAACTACAGCACGGTCACATGACTTCACGTCACCGCCGCTAAGCTAAAGGGCTAATGATGGGCTATAAAGGAACTACAGCACGGTCACATGACTTCTCAACACCATCGCTAAGGCAACGGTGGCTATTTGTTGGGCTATAAAGGAACTACAGCACGGTCACATGACTTCACGTCACCACCGCTAAGCTAAAGGTGGCTAATGTTGGGCGTGATGACGTTTAGTCGTCTCATTTAGACTCTTGTTAGCAACCACCATTTTTAAATACACCAGTGGGGTATTTACTGATGTGTTTTATGTCGTAGAATAACAATCTCTTCAGCTAGTGTTAACCACAGACCTTATTTCAGGCTAACAACAAAAAACACATAAACCATTGACTTCCAGACCAGGGGACAGGAAGGGCTATAATGTTGACTCATTTTACAGCATTAGGACTTAACGATTGTTGCTTTCACAAAATATTACACACATAGATTTTGAAGGCTAATCCTCAGTAACGTTGACATATTGATGATGGACTAAGTGAGTAAAGTCAAATAATAATAGCTAGAACAGCCTTTTAAATGTAGAAAATGACATCACTTTACTTTAATACACCTTAAACCCGGAAGACACAGAATAAATACAATAAATGGCGGTGCGTGCAGAAGCAGCATCTTGGCTCTCATTCTGTTTTTTATATATATTATAGTGCGTCTTATTTCTAGCAGTAAAGTCGTTACCTTTAAGACTTACAATCGAGCTCAGTTATTTTTCATACTTGTGTCTTTTCTCCAGTGAGAGATAAGATAAGAGATAAGATATAAGAAGTACTTTATTGATCCCAATTTGGGAAATGTTTGCGTTGCAGCAGCATAAAAAGACATGGCTTTGTACAATACAAATGAAAAAGACTAGAAATAAGCAAAGAAGTAGAAAATATACATGTTGAATTTACAAATTAGCAATAACAAAATATAAAGCAAGCAACAACATTTCTTTATACCAATGATGACAATAAAGATAATCTGATTCGATCCCAAATCTAAAACGCTTTCTAATCTCGTATCATGATATTGATATTAAATCGATATGTTGTCGCCCCAGAGTCCAGGCTCTCCCCGAGGAGCTCCTGCTGGAGGAGGAGGAGGAGGAGGAGGAGGAGGAGGAGGAGGAGGAGGAGGAGGAGGAGGAGGAGGAGGAGGAGGAGGAGGAGGAGGAGGAGGAGGTGAAGAGGTTCCTGTCGAGGAAATGGCGGAGCGTCTCTCCCAAACAGAGCTGCTGGTCACTCAGCTGAAGGAGATGATCCGAGAGAAAGACGCCTCACTCCGCTCCAAAGACGACCAACTAAAGGTGAGGACTCTTCCCCCCTGCTCTGTCTCCATCAGGCCTCTCATCAAACAGGGTGCTGATATTTAAAGCAGTGTTGAAGAGCACAGTGTCATGTTCGACCTGTTATAACACCCAGACACTTTATACGCTGCTACGGACAATCTTGCACTAATGTACATTTCCCAAAGATATTGAAGTGACTGTTATTTTGTATTTATTGATTATTTTGCTTTTTTTGTTTTCATCTTAATGTGTGCACATGTAGAAATGTGTCTGGAGATACAGGATATACATATTCTTTACATATTCTTTACATCATCTTTAAATATTTGTATTTTTATATTCAGGATTGTGGGAAACGGTGTTTATATCTCTCTGTCTGCACACAAACAGAAAGATTGACAATAAAGTTTATTTTCATTCAACAGCTGATTTAATTGTTGTATTATTTATAATCACCTTTTTAGTAACTTGTGTTTTTATTAAATAAAACATATAGTGAAGTAAAAGAACAAACAGTTGCCTCCAGAATGTAGTCAAGTAGAAGTTTTAAAATATAAATCCTCAAGTGAAGTACCTCAACATTTTACTTAAATACGGTACTTGAGTAAATGTACTTAGTTACTTTCCACCACCTTTCTGTGCTAAATAGAAGCCAGTGATCATGAGTTAAATTCCTCCTGCATTTAGTTTTCAATATGTGTGTCATTTACTGCATATTATTATAAAACTCTTTATGAATATTGACTTAAAACATGAGCTCTGCAAAAGCAATAATCCCCAGCACGGCGGTTCCTTTGGGTTTTAATGATGGAGCTTCTGATTACATTAGTCACTGTGTGTTTAGCATATTGATTCTTTTTCTGTACTAAATGCAACATGTGAAGCCCATGTGAGGAGGATTGGTTTCTGACCGATCCACACACAGCTGGTCACATGAGTTCCTGCTGCTGTTAGTCACCCACTGAGATCATTTGGTTAAAAAAAACCTGCATCTAGTTAACTATTAACCTCCCAAGGCAAAGTCTGCTGCACAATAATAACGAGAGGAAGGTGAGATTAGATTTCCAGATGTGATAAAAGTAATTGTTTGGTGTGAGGTGTGCACCCAGGTACTGAAACTCCACTATAACCTTCATCATATTTATAGCGAAGGAAACAAAGTCGCTGAGAGGCCGGGCCTGTTTGATATTGTATGACACGCTAAAAAAGAGTACTTGCTGAGATCCAAACTCTGTTGAATTGTAATACGCGGTGATCAGACATAGACATTGTAATAATAATGATCAAAGCAATCATACATCTTGCGGTCAACAAAAAGTACAACGGCCCTGTGTCACCCTCTCTTCCATACAAAAAAAACAAATATGAAAAAAATATATATAAAAAAAAGAAAGTAGATTACTTTTTAACATTATACTCAAAGGGCCAGTAAATATCACCCCGGGGCCGGATTTGGCCCGCGGGCCGCCAATTGAATAGCCCTGCTATACATGTTTCATGGCTCCTACAATATTATATACAATGTACATGTTTGCAGCACCTCAAATGTTCTTATAATGATCGATGAACTAAGAACTTCAACTTAATTAAATCGTATAGTGTCTTAATGCAAAGTCAGTTTTTCCATCAGCCGGTATTTACCGTCTTTGAACGAGAAAATCTGATAAAATCCTACAATTTAAGTCTCATAATGAAGTCTTAATGCTTGGTGGAAACAATTCCCCCTGTGCACGATTCATAATAAAGATTTGTTGTTGTGACCCAGGTGGAGAAGGAGGCCTGTGAATCCAAACTGTCGAAGCTGCGCCTGCAGAGCAAAGCGAAGGTGACGTCTCTTAACGCTCAGCTGGAGGAGCTGAAGAAACAACATGGAGGCCAGGGAACGCCAACACACGGCAAAAAGGTTCGGAAAATCTGAACATCAAACATTTTATCCACGACATTTGATCAAAAGTAGTGGATATTTTGGATCGCTAAAGCGTATTGTTGTTGGGTTAGACATTCTGGACTAGCTGACACAGAGTAATATGCAAATCTGATTAGTGTCGTGTTTCTGTTCAAATGAAATCCATTGTTTTCCTGATTTGTTATTTTTGTATCAATGTTTTCTTCTTGTGTCCCCGCAGGGCTCGTCAGAAGGAGAGCAGGCGAGTCGAGGGAAGATCGTCCTGCTGAAGAAGAAAGTGGAGGAACTGGAACATCAGCTTGCAAAAAGACAGGAGGAACTGGAGAAAAAGGTAAAGTGTCCTCGTAAGATAAACCTCTATTAATTCTCACAGGGAAATGCAGGTCACAGAGCAGCAACGGGAATAAGAGACAAGGAAACACAAGATATGACACGAGTACACTTAGTGATATTAGAGAGGTCTTGTGTTGGGGTTTTCCCTTTCCTGTTGTGTGTTATATAGGTTTTTTGTGCATGAACATTGTCGGCAAAGCTACAATCCCAAAATTCCCTCCAGAGGGAGTCTTGTCCCAGTAGAGCAGGGGGGTCAAACTCAAGGCCCGGGGGCCAAATCCGGCCTGTGACTTCATTTAATGCGGCCCCACAAGAGCTCTGAAAGAATATAATAAGTTTATTATACGGTTACATGCCGCTTTACAGAAGCACATTGCCCATAAACTACATGTCCCACAATGCATCTCAAATTTGAATTTTTTCTCAGAATTTTACTTTTTTTTCAAAATGTCACTTTTTTTTGTTGTGATTTTGACTTTTTTTCCAGAATTTGGCTTTTCTTTTTAAATCATTTTGTGACATGCGCACTGAAGAGACTTGCAATTATTTGCCCTTATTCTGCTTTCAGACGTAGTTAAGTTATTACCCTATCCCATAATAATCCAATGCAGAGGCAATAATGTAATATTATACATTATTTTATACATATTAAATATATATATATATATGTATATTTATATAGTCTTCAAGTTACAACCGGCCATAATAAAAGCATAATAAAAGCATAATGCTGGTGGCCCGCGATGAAATTGAGTTTGCCACCCCTGCAGTAGAGGAACAAAATACTAACTAATAAAAAGTAACAGTATAAATAACAAGGGGAGGCGTGTGGCGGAGTGGATAGAGCCTTGGTGTTGGGATCAGGTTCAAACCCCGCTGCAGTCAGCATGTCGTTGTGTCCCTGAGACTCTTCACCCCAAATTGCTCCTGTGGGGATTGCCCACAGTATTGAGTATGTAAGTCGCTTTGGATAAAAGCGTCTAACAAGTGACATGTAATGTAGTGTAACAAAACTGCATCTCCATTTACTCTAGCACGGTAAAAGATATACATTAACTCACAATGCATTATTATTTCTTATCTCCTTTCCTTTCAAATAATACAAAATATGCACATGCTTTAGGAGCTGTTCTTGTTACATTTTGAGATGTTCTTTTAGGAGTTGTTCCTACAGTAGTCCTCGAGAGGTTTATCTGCAGTTTGTGTGTACGGTTTGATTAGCTGAGGTTTCCCCAGGTATTCATTGTGTTCTGTGACTGATGTCCTGCAGAGTAAGGAGGTGGAGTTTCAGCGGCAGCGAGGCGAGGAAATCGACATGATGCTGACGGAAAAGGACAGGAAGCTGGCAGAAAAAGAGGCGTACATCGTTCACCTGCAGTCTGCTCTGTCAGGAGATCAGCCCATCACACCTGCACCACAACAACAGGTATAACAACTCACAAAGGTGGGCTGTGAACACCAGCCAATGCCAGAAGCATTATATATAGTATCTAAAGACTAACTAATGTGCAATGGCATGACACCAGCTGCGATGCCAAAAGGGAGCGAGGGAGGCGTTTGTTTCTCCTTGTTTTTAATACCATTTTATTGCAAATGTTTTCATCTGTTGAGATTAAGAGAGAAGAAATTACAGAGGATACACTGTTCCTATGCATTCATTCATTCATTTACAACACAATGCTTTAACGCATGTTTATCCAGGGTTCCTGAGGATATTAAATCCATCTTACTTAAGTCTTAAAGGTGGGGTAGGTAATTCACTTCAGAAACACTTGTTGTTATATTCCATGGAATGCTCTTAACATCCCGATAGCAATGAATATATTAAATGCTTTGACAATAAATACATAAAACATCTCATCTGTGGAAGCCGTACTGTGAAAAGCACGACCAATCATCTGAGCCGGCCCGGCTAAAGTAACTGGATGGCCTACCTGCCTGTCAGCCTTCCATCTGGGCACAAACTTATCTCGTGCCCTCATTGGTCATGTGCGCGTTCGTGTGTGTTGGAGGAGGGGCTCTGTGAGGAAGTCTGAAGGAAGAGGCAGATTTTGTCCGGTTGTGTATTTTCAAATTCTAGCGCACTCGAGCTGGTTTCTCCATTCTTACCTACCCTACCTTTAATATTGTAAGAAATATAATTCTCTATTTATTTAAATAAAAAATGTTTGAGTAAGATTTTAACCTGAAAATAAAATGGAAAAATAAGTTTACAAACATAAGAAGTAAGACTTTCATAAACCCAAGGATGCTTTTCTTTCCGAGTGGCATTTATTAAAACGTGTTTAATCTACTTTGCCTTGTGCTGCAGTTTCCCTGTTAATGCATACTTAATGCCGGGCGGTGCTTCTCCTCCTTAGGTGTCGGAGGAGGGCGGGGCGATGCAGGATCTGCAGCTGCTGGTGCAGAGCCTCACCAGGAAGGTGGGGGAGGCGGAGGAGCGCTACAGTCTCCTTCAGGAGCAGAGAGACAGCTTCAGAGAGCTGCTGGACTCAGAGAAGGAGCAGTACACTGAGAAGGAGAACATGTTCAAACAGAACGTAAGATTCACTTTCTGCTTCCTCTGCAACGCAAACATTTCCCAAATTGGGATCAATAAATTACTTATCTATCTATCTATCTATCTATCTATCTATCTATCTATCTATCTATCTATCTATCTATCTATCTATCTATCTATCTATCGATCTATTCGTTTATCCGTTATCATCTATCGTCTATCCATAATCTATACTTCTATTATCTATATATCTAGCTATCTATTCTATCATCTATCTATCTATCTATCTATTTCGTCTATCTATCTATCTATCTCGATATCTATCTATCTATCCATCGAGCAATCTATCCATCTACTCTATCTATTCTATTCATTATTCATCTATCCATCTATTCATGCTTATTCATCTATAATCTCTCATCTATTCATCTATCCATCTATCTATCTATCTATCTATCTATCTATCTCTATCTATCTATCTATCTATCTATCTATCTGTCTATCTGTCTGTCTGTCTGTCTGTCTGTCTGTCTGTCTGTCTGTCTGTCTATCTATCCAAACCCTTTTTAAACCGTGTTTTCAGCCTCAATATCGCATCAATGCTAATGTCCAGTACCACGGCACATGTTTTGAAATAAATGTTTCGTATTTACTTGAAATTTCATTGTTTGTATACATATCATTTATTTGTCCTTTTACCTAAACTTCTTATATTTCTATTCTTATTTGTTTTATTTTATGCTTTTATTTATTGGACATTTTAATTTAACTTATTTTGTTTATATAATTATTTATTTATTTATTATTGTTCATGTATTATTATAATTTTAGTGTCTTTCATTTTTTAAATTTTAAATCGAGCAATTGTCCCAACATTTAAATACCCCACGGAATATTAGTCTGTTTCTGATTAATTGCGTGCAGACAGTGTTGCCTTTGTTGTAGAATGTTGTTCAGTATTTTGTTATTAGGAGTGTCTCTCTCTTGTGTCTGATGCTCCCTGTGTTTGCTTCCAGATCCAGACCTTCAAAGACATCATCATTCAGAAAGATAACCTGCTGACGGAGATCAACCAGATCCACGAGCAGGAGCTCTTTAAGCTGGCAGCAAAATCTGACGCCAGCGCAGACATAGAGCAGGTAGAGACAACAACACTCATGACCTAATGAATCAGTGAGGAAACAGTGAACTTACGTACTTTTCATGGCTTTATTGTAAGATGTCATTCTGTTTAAAGGAAACTATCAGTTCCTTACCTCAGATAAATTACTCAGGGGTTCCTGCAGGGTCTTAAAAAGTCTTAAAGGGGACCTATCATGCAAAATGCACGTTTTGATGTATTTTATAAATAACTATGTGTCCCCGGTGTGTCGGGGAACTCACGCAGCATCAGAAAATAATACCCTCTCTCTTTTCCTCCGTACCCACATTTCTAAAAACGGGGAACAACGGAGCTGATCCAGATTTGCGTCCGATATGACGTAATATCTAAAATGTGGACCCACAGCACTATCAGAAACGTTGCTATCAGAAACAATGCCCGACTGTTTTGGACGTAATATGGTCGGTGTTTGCATTAGCATCGCTAACACTCAGAGCTAACCTGTACTGGAGAGCATGTGTGTGAAGAAGCAGGAAATGAAAAGGACCTCACCTTGTGGTATAACCGGCAAGAGAGAAAGCCTTTGAGCTCCATATTGTTTCAGAGATAATCCTTGATCTAATAATTCTTGCGTTTCATCACGCAGCATTTTAGACAGTTTCTGCCAGGTCCCCGCATGAGCCGGCATAAGCTCCGCCCCCTCTTATTTTTTATCATTTTCAGTTAAAAAAAAAAAAGCTTTATTTTTTTAATTTATTTTTAGCCTTCATTTAAACAGGTGAGTATCTCATTGAGACACAGGGTCTCATTCTCAAGAGAGACCTGTTTATACCCAGAATCAGCACTTTTGAAACAGGAAGTGAAATAGAGGGATATGAGGCGTGGCTAGAATGGGTGATCTGTTTGGTATTTTTGACCAAAACACTTCATAGACATGTTTTTAATATATTTTTATATATCTGAGACCTATGCTATTGCCTAAACATAGCATGATAGGTGACCTTTAAATATGATCAAGAACTTCTGTGTTGCGATCACGTCTAGATCAGTTATCGTTCTTATGTTGAACGTGAATACATTTATTAGTAATTATGGGACGTATTTCTTTTTTCATAGCAATTTCCCTTCATACTTTCTTGCCGTGAAATAGGTCTTAAATTGTATTCAAAGTGGTCTTAAAAAGTCTTACATTTGAGTTTACAGGAACCCTGTTACTGTTGGCACATGTTTCTGTGTAATTCAAAGTTTAAACACTTCTTTGTTTCCTCCTCAGCTTTTGAAGGCTCTCAAACAGAAGCTCTATGAGAAGGAGGAGGTGCTGCTGGGAAAAACTCAGGTCATCGATGTCCTCCAGCAGGAAGTGGACGGCAGGGACCAACAGATAAAGGTACTTGACATTTACTTTCCTCTTGGTGCACTGATCGATCTGATACTGACCAACATCACTGGATTAAATGTAGGAGACAAAGGGGTTTAATACAATTACATCTGTTAGCCTTATCTGTCATTGTGGTATAGTTTACATTCATAATATTGCATCTATATACATGTGTTATTAACAGATTAGTTATTTAAAGGGGATCTATCATGCAAAATGCACTTTTTGATGTCTTTTATGCATAAATATGTCCCCCCCGCTGTGTCAGGGAACTCACACAGTGTTCCTCCGTACCCAAATCTCTAAAAACGGGGCTACAACGGAGCTGATCCAGATTTGCGTCCGATATGATGTAATATCGGAAATGTAGACGTAGACAGGGGGTAAGGAACATTATTAAAAACAAACAGAAAGAGTTAAAGGTGGGGTGGGTAAGTTTGAGAAACCGGCTTGAGATACACTTGTTGTTATATTCCATGGAATGCTCTTAACATCCCGATAGCAATGAATATCTGAAGTGCTTTGACAAAAAATCCATAAAAAATGTAATCTGTGGAAGCCGTGGCGCTGTAAAAAGCACGACCAATCATCTGAGCCGACCCGGCTAAAGTAACTGGATGGCCTACCTGCCTGTCAGCCTTCCATCTGTGCACAAACTTATCTCGTGCCCTCATTGGTCATGTGCGCGTTCGTGTGTGTTGGAGGAGGGGCTCTGTAAGGAAGTGAGGAAGTGGCAGGTTTGTTCCGGTTGTGTATTTTCAAATTCTAGCGCACTCAAGCTGGTTTCTCCAAAATGACCTACCCCACCATTAGGATAAGATAAGATAGAACTTTATTGATCCCAATTTGGGAAATGTTTGTGTTGCAGCAGCATAAAAAGACATGGTATTGTACAATACAAATTAAAAGACAAGAAAGTAGAAAATGTACATTTTGAATTTACAAATGAACTATAACAAGATATAAAGCAAGGTATAATATATACATAAGTATGTGACAGATGGAGCAGAGAGTGCTCTTCCAGCCAGAGGTGATTTGTTGTACAGAGTTATTGCAGTGGGCAGGAATGTTTTCCTGTGAATCACAGAGTCACAGATGTTGGATCACAAAACAGTAAACGTTTGTGATTCATTATTTTTTCCCCTCGTCGTCCTTTCTCCCCACAGGAGCTCACGGAGCGTCTCCGCCGGCTGCACGTGGAACGAGAGAGTCTGGAGTCCAAGATGGAGGCGGAGAAGCACGTGATGCGAGCGCAGCTGCGAGACCTGATGGAGAAGCAGCAGGCGGAGGTGCAGCGAGTGAAGGAGGAGCTCCAGGAGCAGATGGAGCAGAAGCAGCAGGAGATCAGGAGGTCTGCTGCACCTCCTACTCACAGAGAGGAGGAGGAAACAGGAAGTGATTCAGCCTCCAATCAGAGGATAGCAGAGCTGGAAGGTGGGTTAAAGTACAAGAACAGTCATGAGACAGGATGGAGAATAGAGACATTAGATTCCTTTATTGTCACTACACAGAGTACAGCGTCGTCTTTCAACCAGAAGGTTGTGGGTTCGATCCCAGCCCGTGCAGTCAACATGTCGATGTATCTTTGGGCAAGATACTTAACCCTGAGTTGCTCCCGATGGCCAACGGTGTGTGAGTGTTAGGTCCTAGAGTAAGGAACACTGCTCTGTATGAATGGGTGAATAACATGTAGTATGTAAAGTGCTTTGAGGGGTCGTAACGACTGGATAAAGCGCTATATAAGTACAGTCCATTTACCATTTACAGCGAAATGCTAGGCATTCCCAAAGGTGCAATCACACATAACAGACAGTATAAGTATCATTTCGCAATACAAGCTAAAAACAATTAATATATAATATATAAAGTGACTAAAAATGTGACCTATGATACATAGAACAGTACGCTTACAAAACAATACAACTTTGCCATGCAAATACAAATACAAGAACAATACAGTCAAGAATAGTGTCTGAGAATTAAGTTCAGACACTGAACAGATAGTATTTCAAATATATATTAATAACGCGTCTGGAATTGGAGAGAGTTCATATGTTATACAGAAATATGAACCACCTAAAAACACTTAACGCTAAGCAAATACACAACGAACTAATCTAACTGGCTGCTCAATGATCCAAAAGTGTATTAATAATAAGTATATCTTTGGTTTAAAATAGAAAAGATACAATAAACACATATTTATGACAAAGGAAAATAATTCAATTGCATTTCAGAGTAAAGTAACTTGTGTAAAAGTCTAGTATTAAATGCTGCCTTTACTTCCTGAAAGCTACATTTACTTACTAGGTTTTTTTGAGGCTTTAATCTGGAAATATATGGATCAGTTCAAACGTCTAACTTCTGCTTTTAACTGCAAGAAGACCCGATACACAACATTTAATACTAAATCAAATAAAGTGGTAATTTCTAAATCGGATCTAAAGTAAAAGTAGTAGTAGTAGTTTTTAATCAAATATTCACCCAAGATAATTGCTGTAAACCTGATTTAATAAAAACAATCAGATGTATTTTTTGTGATTACAATGCTTTTTAATCTGTTGGATGATTTTTAGAAAACATGTTGATCTTCCTAAAGCTTTGATTATTATTATTATTCAATGTAACTTTCTCCCTTTGTCTTCTTTTTGCAGGCCGAGCCAAGAAGAAGACGGATGAGGCGAGCAGATCGGAGACAAAGTTCCTGAAGATGAAAGCCTGGTCCAAAACTCGGATCAGGCAGTTGGAGGAGGAGCTGAAGAAAAGCCAGGTGAGAGGAAAAGATCACATGTTTAGATTCATTTTAAAAAAATGTATACTTTTTATGACCTTTTAACAAAAACACTCTGATATGTATTTCTCTAAATTAAAATCCCTAGCATATGTTAACGCAAAATCCCAAAGAAATGTTTTTGTTATTCCAAAAGGCATTACACTCTTTAAGTTATCCGTGCAAATCAACACTTCATGTATTTTAATCATTTTCATACATTTAGTTTTTGAACTTCTTATGTTTATATAAATATTTGTATTATATTTTTTTATTTATCGTTTTATTGCACAATTTTACTTCAACTTCCTGTGGTTTTTATAAATGTTTGTATTTCATTTTGTATACTTCTGGAGTGGAGTGCACTAGCTGGGCGTAAGCTGGGCGTAACTCTACGTCCGACGTAGAACCGAAGGTTAAGACCAAACTAAAGTTATGACTAGTGCACCACTTAGACTTAAGCCCTGTATGCGTTGCGCCCGGGTGTAACTTTTACGCCTATGGAGCAGGCGTAAATCGGAAAGACGGACTAGTATCCATAGTAACGTAAAACAGGCAAGAAGGATATTAACGATGGCAGGGCGTCTTGTTTACATGTTTAACAATGAAAGGGCATTAAGAAGAGTCTCAATTTCTCCTTCTCCAGCTCAATTTTTTCGTGTTCCGCTCTCAATTTGACGGTCTCCACCTCCACACGAACGATTTCTTTCTCCGTCAGTTCCCGCTGTAGCTCTGACAAATCCCTCTTTCTCTTTCGGGGTGTGGCCATTTGGGATTCCCCTTGAGTCATCGCTGACGCTGTGGGTGTGGGAATTCCCTCTTCTCTGCGGTCCTCTGAGTCTGTAAAATGGTAAAATGGCGTTGCTTGGCAACAATGACTGTTTTGCGTGTATTCACGTGGACGCGCATCTTAAGACCAGGCGCAGCTACGCCCGAGACTAGTCAGGCTTGGTGCACTCGGTGTAAATTCGAATCACTACGTCGGACGTAGCTAAGCCCGACGTTAGAGTTAAGCCCTACTTTTTTACGCCCAGCTGGTGCACTCCACTCCTGTTGCACATTTCTATTTAACTTCTCATTTATTTAAATATTTTTATTTATTCAACTTTACCCTATTATTACACTTTTTTTACTTCAACTTATGTTTATATTCATATTTCTATTATATTTATTTTAATGTATTGCCAAATGTTTTTCTTATGTACATATAAATATTAAATACATATATACATGTGTTTATTTCATTTAATTCAAATTGTCACCTGGAATAAATAAATATTCAGATTCTGATAATCGTTGATCTTCAACAGCATGTTAATTCCACACTTGTCTTAAATGCATGAATAACTCTTCTATGCGTGCCTGCAATCTTTTTAAAACTTTAAATACCTTTATTTTGTCCCCTTCAGGCGGGAGGTGCGCCCCCGGACCTGAACGCCCTGCGGAGTCGCATCACAGCGCTGGAGGAGGAGAGGGAGGAGAACCTCTGGAAGGTGGAGCAGTACGAGGAGCTCAAAGCTAAGAACGGTAACCTGACAGCAGAGACTTCAGGGCTTCATATTTTATTTGTGTTTATCATTTCAAGATTCAAGATACAACAGGCTTTTATTGTCATTCGTTCATAGCTGCAGTGTAGTTATGACGATGTACATTTTAAGTCACAGGCTCCTCAGTGCAACACAATAAAACAGATACAATCGTGCAAGTAAATACAATACAATAGAGTAGAAGTAGTGCCATAAGAGTCTCTATACAAGTGATACATAATTGTTAATGGATGTTCTTAGTTCAGGTGTTGACAGTCTTGTGGCCTGTGGAATGAAACTGTCCCTGAGTCTGGTGTTTTCTAGCCGTGATGCCAAAATGAAGTCTGTTTGTTTATGTTTTCTGGTAGAAACGCTGGAGGCTAAGCTGGAGGTGTACGAGGAGCAGCAGAGGACCCTACAGGCCGACCTGGAGCAGTTCACCAAGAGGACGGCCTCTCAGGTCAGAGGGCAGACTTTCCTGCTTAATCTTTGTGCCTGATTTACAGGGAGTTAAATAGTTCCTTAACAAGTATTGATAGGTCTTGAATTCAAAGCCTAACCATGTCTAAAATGGTGTTGAATATGATTGTATAGGTCTTGAATTGAATGCTCTAAATCTTGTAAAATGTATAAATAATTGTACAGGTTATTTATTATTTACAGGGAGTTAAATAGTTCCTTAAAAAGTATTAATAGGTCTTAGATTCAATTGTCAAATGTGAGCCGAACAATGTCTAAAATGGTCTTGAATATGATTTTATACTTCTTAAATTGGACCCTCTAAATCTTGCTAAAATGTGCTTTCATTGTGGAAGACTTAAATAATTGTCTGCTTCACTCGGGTGCGATGGGAAATGAAAGTAGACATGGATGGAGAATACCAAATCATCCACAGATCTCCTCCTCTCTTCTTTAATGTTAAGATATTACATCTGTATACCTTAAATAACACATTAACTGCTGTTAACTTGTCCCCACCATCGCTGTGTTTTGTTACAGCTTATTTTAAATTTCTCTGGGTTGTTAGCAAGAGTCTAAAGGAGACAACTAAACGTCTTCACGCCCAACATTAGCTGCCTTTAGCTTAGCGGTGGTGACGTGAAGTCATGTGACCGTGCTGTAGTTCCTTTATAGCCCAACATTAGCCTCCTTTAGCTTAGCGGTGGTGACGTGAAGTCATGTTACCGTGCTGTAGTTCCTTTATAGCCCAACATTAGCTGCCTTTAGCTTAGTGGTGGTGACGTGAAGTCATGTGACCGTGCTGTAGTTGCTTTATAGCCCAACATTAGCTGCCTTTAGCTTAGTGGTGGTGACGTGAAGTCATGTGACCGTGCTGTAGTTCCTTTATAGCCCAACATTAGCCTCCTTTAGCTTAGCGGTGGTGACGTGAAGTCATGCGACCGTGCTGTAGTTCCTTTATAGCCCAACATTAGCCACCTTTAGCTTAGCGGTGGTGACGTGAAGTCATGTGACCGTGCTGTAGTTCCTTTATTGCCCCAACATTAGCCGCCTTTAGCTTAGCGGTGGTGACGTGAAGTCATGTGACCGTGCTGTAGTTCCTTTATAGCCCAACATTAGCCTCCTTTAGCTTAGCGGTGGTGACGTGAAGTCATGTGACCGTGCTGTAGTTCCTTTATAGCCCAACATTAGCCACCTTTAGCTTAGCGGTGGTGACGTGAAGTCATGTGACCGTGCTTGTAGTTCCTTTATTGCCCAACATTAGCCACCTTTAGCTTAGCGGTGGTGACGTGAAGTCATGTGACCGTGCTGTAGTTCCTTTATAGCCCAACATTAGCCTCCTTTAGCTTAGCGGTGGTGACGTGAAGTCATGTGACCGTGCTGTAGTTCATTTATAGCCCAACATTAGCCACCTTTAGCTTAGCGGTGGTGACGTGAAGTCATGTGACCGTGCTGTAGTTCCTTTATTGCCCAACATTAGCCACCTTAGCTTAGCGGTGGTGACGTGAAGTCATGTGACCGTGCTGTAGTTCCTTTATTGCCCAACATTAGCCACCTTTAGCTTAGCGGTGGTGACATGAAGTCATGTGACCGTGCTGTAGTTCCTTTATAGCCCAACATTAGCCTCCTTTAGCTTAGCGGTGGTGACGTGAAGTCATGTGACCGTGCTGTAGTTCCTTTATAGCCCAACATTAGCCGCCTTTAGCTTAGCGGTGGTGACGTGAAGTCATGTGACCGTGCTGTAGTTCCTTTATAGCCCAACATTAGCCGCCTTTAGCTTAGCGTTGGTGACGTGAAGTCATGTGACTGTTAGTTTCTTGTTCCACTTAAGAAGTGAGGGTTTTTGTTTATTGTCTGATAGGTTATTTAATTTGTGTATTTAATAGTTAACTCTTAGTTAAGAGTGTCCCTTTGGTTTCCCTTTGTTTATTTAAACCGGTGCCTTTCTGGCCCTTTGTTTTGTTTGTGGCTGCTTCTTGCCATTTCATTTGAGCTTTGAGCTTTTAATTTACCAACACCAACTGGTTATATGTTACTTTCCCTTTCCCCGAGCTGGGACGTAACAACATTGTTGAAACCTTCTTAAACTCACCCTGTACCTCTCTCCCTGTGTGCTGTCAGGCGAGTGAGTCGGGCAGCGCGGACGACACTCAGAGTCACGTTCTGGAGTGGCAGGAGATGGTTTCTGATGCCGTCAGCGCCAGAGACCGGGCCAAAGAGGAGAAGGCTGCCATGGTGCTGCGGATCAGCCACATGGAGGAGGAGAGGGAGGGTAAGACTGCAGGGTGACACACATCCACAGCTGTTAGCACTCTCAGATCACCAGGAGTCACTAATAGGGCCACAATGCACAGAAAACTATTTATTTTTGTAGAAAATCTCACACAGATGTTGCCTAATGCACACCTAATCTGCGTCGAAAATCTCACACACTGCCAATCGTCAATCTGAGTCTCCTTTAATAGATCTTTAACTGACCAATAAGTGCACAAATAAACCACACATTTAAGCAAATCTATTTCCTTTCTTTCTCTTTAAGCATCTCTGAAATAAGCAGTAATTTAACTCAATCTCCTGACTTTCCATTCTCTCTACTTAAATTGAAATAATTCTCATTTATTCTTTCGTCTTTATACTGATCAATTCATGAGTTTGATGACCCTGCTTCAAATTATTAATTGTTATTATTTTAAAGAATAAATCATTAATGTTTGAGCCAGAATTTCACCCAGCCCTTTTTTTTTTACCATCAAAACTTCATCACCATGTCTGTCCCTCCTGTTTTGCTCTGATTTATTTCTCAAACATTTAGTGGAGTAAAGTTTAGCTCTAGTGGCCCAGATTTGACAAATTGGTTATTTCTAATATTGGGCTTAATGATAAAAATGTACTTGATTTTATTACATTAGATACAGATTTGAATCAGTTTCTATTTACATTATTTAAGTTAAATTGTATTATATTGTATTAACTCACTCTTGCGGCGAGTGGTGTTCTTCAGTCTGAAGTAGGGCTGCTCGATTATGGCAAAAATCATAATCTCGATTTATTTGGGTCAATAATTGTAATTGCGATTATTAAATGCGATTATTCATTGACTTTGAAAACATCAATTTATTGGAGAAAAACATTTTGAACAGTATGTTTTTAACAGTTGATTACCCTGAACTTTAAGTTTAATTCAACTGAAAAACCAAAAAATAAATAAATAATTTAAAAAAAGTAATAATAATAGTAAAAAAATAATCGTTTTATTTCGATTACGTTGTTTTCGTAATCGTTGCAAGCCATAATCACAATCGCGATTTAAAATACGATTAATTGAGCAGCCCTAGTCTGAAGTTTGGAAACGTTTCTAAATCTAGCGAGAAAGTAACTATTTTCTCTCCCTTTGTGTTTCTGGAGCTGTGACAAATACCGGTCACTAAGATAAGATAAGACGACAACTTTATTGATCCCAATTTGGGACATGTTTGTGTTGCCGCAGCGTAAAAAGACATGGCTTTGTACAAGAAAAATTAAAAGACAAGAAATAAACAAGAAAGCATACTACTTGTGTTGCTGACGTAAAAAATATTTGGCACATCATTTGCCAACTTTGTGTAAATTCGATTGGTAAAGAGTCGGATATAGGACACGTGTAGCAGCAAGAGATTAAAGCTACAACCACATTAAAGTGTATTTTCAAACCTTTTCCTCTGTTTACACCTAGTGTCCATACTACGGACACTAAGTTGACAGCGTTTTATCTAGAAGAACTTCAGGATTGCATTCAACTCTGGAGACGCGTAGAAAGAATTTTGAAAAAAACTTTAAAGTAAATAAATAAAATAAGTAAAATAAAAATGTATTTAATAATAGTCCTATTTTAACAGGAAAAGAGGACTTCAAGTAAAAGATTTCCGTCCGATAAACACGGAAAGAAACAAGCTCTTAATAAAATGTTTACAATGTCGTCACCGGCTCAGAGACGCCGGTCTCTTCCCATAGCATTCGCTCTCGTTGGAATCAATTAAAAAAGACGCCGGCGCTCAGAAAAAGGTGCGATGTGGAAACCGGCCCTAAGGATATTGTTTTTGTTTGAACACAGGACTGTGGATGAAGCCTTAGACTCTTTGATTTTGTTTACCACATGTCCTCTGCTATCTGACTCAACATTATTTGTGTTTTCTCGCCCCCCCTCCCCGTCCTAACCGTTGTTATTGGCGAGCGCCCCCCCCCCCCCCGTCCCCCCCCGGCTCCTGCCCCGCTCCAGGGATGGGAGCAGCCTCTCAGAACAGTTTCCCATCAGTTTTGTGCATGCAGGCCCCCCCCCCACTCCTCCAGTGCAGCGGGTCACTGTTCTGCCTGCAGCTTCCCCCAACATTCACCTTCCTCTGGGGGGGGGGGCGAGCTGCAGGCTGAACAGTGACCCGCTGCACTGTCGGCCATCTTGTTTTCCTTTCTTTTCCTGTTTCTTCTGTTGTTCTGTTCTCTTTTTCCCATCTCTTAATTTCTGGTTTGGCCACGCTAAAATAAGTAATGAGTAACTCATAAAAATCATTAATGCTGCAACTAACAACTATTTTAATTTTAAAATGTCTTGTTTTGTCCGTCCCAGATCCAAAAACATTCGCTCTAATTTGATATTTGATAGAGAACAGCAGGAGATCTCCATTTTGTTTTGGCTCAAAAAAACATTTCCTGAAATGTTTGATCAAAAACATTACTTTTAAAAACAACAAATGCTCCATTCATTAAATGTGTCAGCTTTACTCAGAATCAGAAATACTGATGTTCGTAAAACATCATTTGAATAAACTAGAATAAAACATATATTATAAACACATAGGAAGTAAGAATGTGCAATTAAAGTTAAAATAAGATAGGAGAAAAGTGAATGTAAAATGTCCAACCCCATTTCAAAAGTGCAGGGTGATGAAATTAAACATCTTGGTTTGTCCGTCCCAAATCCAAAAACATTCGCTTTAATTTGATATTTGATATTTGATAGTTGATAGAGAACAGCAGGAGATTATTGGCTCAAAACAGCATTTCCTGACATTTTTGAATGAAAAAATTACTTTTAAAAACAACAAATGTTCCATTAATTAATTTGTCAGCTTTACTCAGAATCAGAAACACTGATTTTCAGGACAATTGTTCAATTTGAGAATAAACTAGAATAAAATAAATATTATAAAAAAACATAGGAAGTAAAAATGTGCAATTAAAGTTAAAATAAGATGTATACAAGTTAATGTAAAATATTATTAAACTATATTTCCGTATCAAATATAGTGAAACAACTTAAACAGCACTTTTTTCAGTTTGTGGTGGGATGACTAATTATGCACTAACATTTTATAAATCCTATTACTATCTAAATCATGTATTATACTGATAAAGCTTTCAAAATGCAGGTGTTTTTAATTAACAAGATTTGAAATTCAGTATTTAACACTTTCTCTCAAAGAACACTGCATTTAATTCATCGTTCGGATCATTTGCTCAGGCTTAGAGAACAGAGAGATCGTCTTTGCCTTTTCCTTCTATCCTGTCGTTCCTCTGGTGTTGATATTTGGTGACTTTATTCAGGTGGAGCTTCAATAGGCAGCGTGAAAACTAACTCACTCATATTGTTGGTGCTGCTTTCAAGTGCTGCTGGAAATCCTGTAAATACCAGTGTACTCTGAAGTGGAAACTGACTCACAAGTTGTTTTAATGTGGGAATACAGGAGTGTGCTTAATTAAGACTAATCTATGTTGGAGCTTAATTAACAATTCTTAAAAACTTGCTCTAAACAATTCTAACATTTCTGCTGAGCTGTCGCTTCTTCTTCTGCAACTAAACATATCTTGCATTTGGCAGCAAGACGTCTTTATTATTTAAATCACATTTTATAATATAAGTTTGGATTATTATATATTATTATTTAGATCCGAAGCCACAACCTAAAGGAAGACTTATTTCGAGGGGAAACCGAGGTGTTAGTTTTTTTATTTAATTTAATCTCAATTCTACTACATTTTGAAGCGTCAATCCATCACCTTATTTCCTTATCTATTGACATTTTGATTGCCTTGATCAGAATTAAGGATAATGATTGTCATGTAAACACAGTTTGCTGAACACTTAAACAGATCCAACCTTGAAAAGTCTTAAAATAAATAAATTAACAACAAAAAAAGGCTTTCATGAGAATGGAAAAGTCTTGAATCAACCTTAAGAATACAAAATGAAATAATTGTTTCTGAAGTTGTAATTTCAACTATCATAAACAAATGTTAACAACTGAAATCTGACTTGCTTTCAGGATTCACGTGACATTCAGGCACAGAAGAAATAAAAAATCTATTTAGCTTCACACTTATTTCACTCTTCATGGCCAGTATATGCTGCATTTTCTCAGTTATATTCAATGCTATACTGTGGTATTAGATGCATAGTCCTTTTAAATTACGCTCTGCTTAACCTGCTGATTTCACTGACCCCTCACTGACCTCTGCCTAACCCCCCGATCTCTCTTTCTCTTTCTCCCTTTGCTTTGAGCTCACCCCACTTTCTCTCCCCTCACGTTAAAATCAGCCTGTTGTCACAAAACAGATGGAAATATGTTTTTTTCGCTCCCAAAAACAATCTGGCACTCCCCTGCTTGCATCTCTACGCTGCTAAATGAAAACCCACAAAAGCACATATAACTCCCCCTCAGATCAAATCAGATACTGTGGTAAAAAACTCCGGCTTTAAGTGTGTGTTTAGCTTAAAGTCGTTTAGCCACTTCCTCTGACTCCCACGTGTGTGATGCTGTGTTTCTCTCGCTGTGCAGATTAGGTGTGCATGGCTCTGACCTGGATGTTGTTTGTTAAGTGTTTCTCAGGTCCATTATGCAAACATAACAAATTCATACATGTCTGGAGTTTCAATAAAGATCATCCATATCAAGAACAATAACTATAAATATAGTTTTTATGAATCCTTCAAGCTCAAGTGGAGGGAGGAGTCCACATCCACAACTTAACGATGATCAATTGAATCAATAATGACGATGGAAACACTGACGGAAAATCAGAATCTATCCAAATACAAATGTGTCTTTGTTCAGTACAGGAGGCTGGATGAGTAAAATGAAAAGCATCTCTCCTCTCCTACATGGTGCTGAAAAACACACAGTGGAAGTTATTTTTCAACTGATTTCATATTATTACTATTTATTTATACAATTATTTACATCTTATATTCATGAATAGCAACTAACAGAAGATACAGGTCATCATTACCCATTATTAGGGCCTGCTTTGAGCTAATAACCTTAGACTTTATTATTCTGAAACTCATTAAACGATGATTAAGATAACACCTTTTAATAATTCAGGTATTGGCAGCAACAGTTATAAACCTGAAATCCTGGATGGGACAGATACAATTTCAGACACCAATAATAAGTTTAAATTATCGATGTATAAATAAATCACATTTTCAAATAATTATTCCCTTTAAGCAACTTGAAGGCTTTAAACCGGAAGAATATGTGCAGGGAGTCTCGTTTATGGGACTCACAGCACCTGGAAAAAAGCAAAGTGTATAACCTAATTGTATAACGTTGATATTGTAAATCTAAATCAACATTTAGAGAAATAAAAATCCAGATGCTCATGCTTCTATTGAAACTGGAAAATGAGCATAATAGATAGATGGATAGACAGATGGATAGATGGATAGATAGATGGATGGATGGATAGATAGATAGATGGATAGATGGATGGATGGATAGATAGATGGATGGATAGATAGATGGATGGATGGATAGATAGATGGATAGATAGGTAGATAGATAGATAGATAGATAGATAGGTAGATAGATAGATAGATAGATAGATAGATAGATAGATGGATGGATGGATAGATAGATAGATGGACAGATAGATAGATAGATAGATGGATAGATAGATAGATGGATAGATAGATGGATAGATAGATAGATGGATAGATAGGTAGATAGATAGATAGATAGATAGATAGATAGATAGATGGATGGATGGATAGATAGATAGATGGACAGATAGATAGATAGATAGATGGATAGATAGATGGATAGATAGATAGATAGATAGATGGATGGATGGATGGATAGATAGATAGATGGATAGATAGATGGATAGATAGATGGATAGATAGATGGATAGATAGATAGATAGATGGATGGATGGATGGATGGATAGATAGATAGATAGATAGATAGATGGATGGATGGATAGATAGATAAATAGACAGATGGATGGATGGATGGATGGATGGATGGATGGATGGATGGATGGATAGACAGATAGATGGATGGATGGATGGATGGATAGACAGATAGATGGATGGAGGCATGGATAGATAGATAGATAGATAGATGGATGGATGGATGGATGAATGGATGGATAGATAGATAGACAGACAGACAGACAGGACTTTATTTATCTGGAGGGAAATTGTTGTGCCAAAGTTACAAAATACAATAAAACACGGCAGCATCAAAATAATTTGTCCTCTTTAAGGCGAATGACCTGATAAAGTATGAAGACATGAAACTACGATCAGTAAATGAAGCACAGTGGCTCACATCCACACGGTATATCTATATTGATAGTTTTTGTTCTTGGTGTGGACGTCCCTTTACTTCCTCTTTCTCCGCCCTTTACTCTCTCTGTCTCTCTTATTGCCTTCACTGTTTTATAACTCTGTTTTCATATGTCAGTTCATACGTAGTGTTGAAAGTGCCTCACCTCCCTCTTCATCAAACACCATCCACCTCAGCTCTGCAGAAAATAGTCTTCTTTTAGCCTCTTTACATCAATCTGTCCCTCCCTAGCATTTCATTACTGTTACACCCACCACTTCCCCTCCATCCATAAACACCCCCCCCTCTCCCTGTGGCACAAAACTGATTGAGGATGACTGGTTCTTTCCTGGCTGCTCCGATCCAGCACTGGCCAGCCGGCAGCAGGAGTTGGAGGAGGAGCTGACTCAAGCTCGGGGTCTCGGCCAACATCGGAGCAAGAAGCTCTTGACCCCCGCTCAACGGAGCCTGCAGGTGGGTGGAGGGGTTGAATGCTTATCTGTGTGTATTGTAGGGCTGCTCGATTATGGCAAAAATCATAATCTCGATTATTTGGGTCAATAATTGATATCACGATTATTAAAAACGATTATCCATTTACTTTGAAAACATCAATTTATTCGAGAAATGTGAACAGTATGTTTTTAACAGTTGATTACCCTGAACTTTAAGTTTAATTCAACTGAAAAACCAATAAAAAAATATTCGTTTTATTTCGATTACGTTGTTTTCGTAATCATTGCAAGCCGTAATTGCGATAAAAATACGATTAATTGAGCAGCCCTAGTGTATTGTTTATGAAAGATTGTGCACATAAATTATAGTTGTCCCTTGTTTTACGCCAGAGAGACCCATAGAAGAGCTCAGAAGAATTTCATTGCCATTTCCACACTGTAGCTTCGTGCATATGACAATAAAACCTTTGCTTTTTAATGACTGTTTTTAAATACCATGTGCTTAATGTCTGTAATTTTTGTAAAGCACTTTGAATTGCCTTGTGTTGAAAGGTGCTATAAACATCAACTTGCCTTGCCTTTGAATCTAGAACAGGAATTGAGAACCAGTGAAGTTTGGGCGTACGTTCTGGATGTAATTGGTCAATGTTTTTGCTCTCTCTCTCTCTCTCCGGCATAACACGAGGAACATGGAACAAAGCAATAACAAAACTTAATCAGAACATGGAGAACAGGGGTTAAATGCTTATAAAATGGTGCACATAAATCATGGTTGTCCCTTGATTTACGCCAGAGAGAGCCATAGAACAGGAATTGAGAACCAGTGAAGTAGAAATTAAGAATCATCTTTGGGCATACGTTCTGGACGTAATTGGTCAATGTTTTTGCTCTCTCTCTCTCCGGCATTGACAGACCTGACTTAATGCATGATAAGATAAAAAGAATCCCTGTAGGGAAATGCAGGTGTTATAGCAGCAACACAATACGATCAAAAGAGAAACGCAGATCCATGAGAACATACACATGGATAACCAGAAAGATATCGTAAAATGCCTGCCTTCGAATAAAGATGGCGCCGGTGATGAACGCTGCCGTGTCTCCAACTCTGCCTTTTCCCCCCGCTTTTTTTCAGTGTTTGTTTACTTTTCGTTGTGTGCTTCACTATTATCTGTGTTATTGAGTGAGATTCATCACAGCTAGAAAACCACCAGGCTCAGGGACAGTTTCATTCCACAGGCCATAAGACTGTTAAACACCTGAACTCAGAACATCCATACATTCATTAACTTACAAATTAGTTATCACTTGTATAGAGACTTTTATGGCACTACTTCTACAAGTATAAGTTATACTTTAATTGTATAATTAAGTGGATATCTAATTGCTTACACTTTAGACTATTCTGCACTATTTATATTATATTATATTTTATTGTATTTACTTGCACTATTGTTTCTGTGTTATTGTGTTGCACTGTTGGAGGAGCCTGTGACCTAAGGATTTCATTGTCATAACTGCACTGTAGCTATGTACAAATGACAATCAAAGCCTTGAACTTGAACATTAATCAAGTGTCTCCCTCTTGCAGGAGGACTTTGAGTTTGACGGGCAGTGTTTTTGATACAACTTTTGTACACTTGAATATCTGCGTTTCATTATTTTCATTAGAATGATGCGTTCGGAGGTAGTTATTATGTCATTGCCTTTTACTAAGTGTCTCCCTCTTGCAGGAGGATTTTGAGTTTGACGGGCAGACCCCCTTCCAGGACCCTCACGGTCCTTCGGAGAGCACCACCCAGATGGAGGGAGAGAACATGGGAGGTTGGTGGCCCGAGTTCAGTTCTCCTGACACAGGTGTGAGACCCGCTGGACAGTTTACTCCGGCATGCACACATCCGCACGTTACTCTGGATAAAGTGTCTTTGGGTTATTTTGTCGTTTTCACCATAACACTCCAAACTTACTTCATAGGGAATGGGAAGAGTGGTGTAGGAATTAGTCGAAAAACCGGAATTAGTCAGGATTTTAGCCCTTCTGTCAACTGGTCTGGAGATCAATGGTTTTCTGGATGTATTTTTGATTGTTATCCTGATATAAGGTCTGTGGTTAACATAAGCTGAAGAAATGTTAACGTTTTCTTCCACAACATAAAATACGTCAGTTAACAGCCCACTGGTACATTTTAAAACGTTGGTTGCTGACAAGAGTCTAAATGAGACGACTAAACGTCATCATACTCAACATTAGCCGCCATTAGCTTAGCGGTGGTGACGTGAAGTCATGTGACCGTGCTGTAGTTCCTATATAGCCCAACATTAGCCGCCTTTAGCTTAGCGGTGGTGACGTGAAGTCATGTGACCGTGCTGTAGTTCCTATATAGCCCAACATTAGCCACCTTTAGCTTAGCGGTGGTGACGTGAAGTCATGTGACCGTGCTGTAGTTCCTATATAGCCCAACATTAGCCACCTTTTAGTTTAGCGGTGGTGATGTGAAGTCATGTGACCGTGCTGTAGTTCCTTTATAGCCCAACATTAGCCACCTTTTAGTTTAGCGGTGGTGATGTGAAGTCATGTGACCGTGCTGTAGTTCCTTTATAGCCCAACATTAGCCTCCTTTAGCTTAGCGGTGGTGAGGTGAAGTCATGTGACCGTGCTGTAGTTCCTTTATAGCCTAACGTTAGCTTTTAAACCACCAAAACACCAGAGAGGCGCCAACATCAGTAACTGTGTACTCTCCATTATTCTCATAACTTATTAATTAACTTTAATTTAGTAAAATAACACTCATCTTCCTCTGTGAAGAGTTTCCCTCTGTAAAGACATTTATATTTCAGGTGTACTTCAATCAATTTGGTTAAAACAGACAGATGACTGTTGAAAGCTAATGACGCTATTTTCAAAGATGGCCACCACGTCCCAGAATGCACTGCGATTCCCATTCCCTATTGAGCAATTGTGGTGGTTTTGTTTTTCTTCATCTAACCTGCCAATATTGTGAACTAAGAACTGGGTGATCTATATCTACAAATTCAATTGAAACTAATTTGAAACATTTATTAAACTAACTCTGGGAATATTGGTGTAACACCGAGAGACACACTCATTCATCGTTTTACATTTCCATCATTTGAAGTTGTTTCTTTGGACACGTGCATGCTGGTGGAGCTGGCTAGTGTTGTTTTGGATTGGTCGACTGAATGCATTGAATTGTTGCGAGATCATATGTAGGTGACAACGTGCACCCATTGTGGTAAGTTTTGTTTTTCATCGTTTTGCATGTTCCATTATTTTTTCCTTCATTTCCTCTCATCCTGCTGGTTGTCTTTTAATCCTCTGCCGTTCATGCAATCAAAAAATAAATCAGCATGTAGGAAAAGCAAATTGAAATGAAAATGATAATTTTGGAAGTTGTGTTTCTAAATGGAAATCTGATGTATTTTCTGGTTGTTTGCGGCAAAACCTTGAACTCTTGAATTCTCATCTTGTCTTTTAATCAACGCCTGACACAGAATGTCTTTTAATGACCCCATGTTTAATAGTTTCCTCACACTTTGCATCCTGTGATTATGACTTCCCACTCACTCAATCTTTCCTCTAGATTTTCCCGCTTTTTCCCGGCATTTGGGAACATGAGCACAATCATGTAATTTACTATAATTAAGAACAAAGACAACATGTAGTATTTAAAGTTGGTTTAGTAAATAATGACTAACTCCTTTTATCCAATCAATCCATTTTTTGTATTACGGATTTTTCAAGGTTAATAAAAAAACCTCTAGACATCAAACAAGACATGTAAGAAAGAACATTGAATGTGTTGCAGCCCTACTGTAGCATAATTTATCAGTGATTAAAGACAGTGTTTTTTTGGATGAATCAGCGGATAAGACTGTTGTTTTTGTTAAAAATAAAACTAATCCAGCACGATGGAAAATTCAACATTGTCCAATCAAAGTCATGTTTGATTAAATTAAATAGCACCCTACAAATGTGTAAAAAAAGTCATAATAGAAAAATGTGGCGACTCAGAAAGATGCAGTGGAAATGCACGTGATGCTGATTGTATCCTCTTAGATCCATGGTAACTCCACCTCCCCATTAAAGGCCTTTCTCTGATTCGTGTTCCTTTATGTCTCATCCCTCACACCTTTGCTCTGCTGCCTGCAGACGGTCTGCGCTCCGTTGTGGAGGAGCTGGAGCTGGAGAGGAACCAGCTGCAGGAGCAGATCCTGAGTCTGGAGGAGCGCTGCCAACATCTGGAGGACCGACTGCAGCTGCAAGCTCGCATCGAGACGCTTCAGGTAACCTCAGCATCCAGAACGTTAAAGGTCTCCTATTATTCAAAACCCACTTCTTCATGTCTCTTCTACATCACCATGTGTCCCCTCTTCTTAATGTCTCTTCTACATCAGCATGTGTCCCCTCTTCTTCATGTCTCTTCTACATCACCATGTGTCCCCTCTTCTTCATGTCTCTTCTACATCAACATGTGTCCCTTCTTCTTCATGTCTCTTCTACATCAACATGTGTCCCCTCTTCTTCACGTCTCTTCTACATCACCATGTGTCCCTCTTCTTCATGTCTCCTCTACATCACCATGTGTCCCCTCTTCTTCATGTCTCCTCTACATCAACATGTGTCCCCTCTTCTTCATGTCTCCTCTACATCAACATGTGTCCCCTCTTCTTCATGTCTCCTCTACATCAACATGTGTCCCCTCTTCTTCATGTCTCTTCTACATCAACATGTGTCCCCTCTTCTTCACGTCTCTTCTACATCAACATGTGTCCCCTCTTCTTCATGTCTCTTCTACATCAACATGTGTTCCCTCTTCTTCACGTCTCTTCTACATCAACATGTGTCCCCTCTTCTTCATGTCTCTTCTACATCACCATGTGTCCCCTCTTCTTCACGTTCTCTTCTACATCACCATGTGTCCCCCTCTTCTTCATGTCTCCTCTACATCAACATGTGTCCCCTCTTCTTCATGTCTCCTCTACATCAACATGTGTCCCCTCTTCTTCATGTCTCTTCTACATCAACATGTGTCCCCTCTTCTTCATGTCTCTTCTACATCAACATGTGTCCCCTCTTCTTCACGTCTCTTCTACATCAACATGTGTCCCCTCTTCTTCATGTCTCTTCTACATCAACATGTGTCCCCTCTTCTTCATGTCTCCTCTACATCAACATGTGTCCCCTCTTCTTCATGTCCTCCTCTACATCAACATGTGTCCCCTCTCCTTCACGTCTCTTCTACATCAACATGTGTCCCCTCTTCTTCATGTCTCTTCTACATCAGCATGTGTCCCCTCTTCTTCATGTCTCTTCTACATCACCATGTGTCCCCTCTTCTTCATGTCTCTTCTACATCAACATGTGTCCCCTCTTCTTCATGTCTCTTCTACATCACCATGTGTCCCCTCTTCTTCATGTCTCTTCTACATCAACATGTGTCCCCTCTTCTTCATGTTTCTTCTACATCAACATGTGTCCCCTCTTCTTCATGTCTCCTCTACATCAACATGTGTCCCCTCTTCTTCATGTCTCTTCTACATCACCATGTGTCCCCTCTTCTTCATGTCTCCTCTACATCAACATGTGTCCCCTCTTCTTCATGTCTCCTCTACATCAACATGTGTCCCCTCTTCTTCATGTCTCCTCTACATCAACATGTGTCCCTCTTCTTCAATGTCTCTTCTACATCAACATGTGTCCCCTCTTCTTCACGTCTCTTCTACATCAACATGTGTCCCCTCTTCTTCATGTCTCTTCTACATCAACATGTGTACCCTCTTCTTCACGTCTCTTCTACATCAACATGTGTCCCCTCTTCTTCATGTCTCTTCTACATCACCATGTGTCCCCTCTTCTTCATGTCTCTTCTACATCAACATGTGTCCCCTCTTCTTCATGTTTCTTCTACATCAACATGTGTCCCCTCTTCTTCATGTCTCTTCTACATCACCATGTGTCCCCTCTTCTTCACGTCTCTTCTACATCACCATGTGTCCCCTCTTCTTCATGTCTCCTCTACATCACCATGTGTCCCCTCTTCTTCATGTCTCCTCTACATCAACATGTGTCCCCTCTTCTTCATGTCTCCTCTACATCAACATGTGTCCCCTCTTCTTCATGTCTCCTCTACATCAACATGTGTCCCCTCTTCTTCATGTCTCTTCTACATCAACATGTGTCCCCTCTTCTTCACGTCTCTTCTACATCAACATGTGTCCCCTCTTCTTCATGTCTCTTCTACATCAACATGTGTCCCCTCTTCTTCATGTCTCCTCTACATCAACATGTGTCCCCTCTTCTTCATGTCTCCTCTACATCAACATGTGTCCCCTCTTCTTCACGTCTCTTCTACATCAACATGTGTCCCCTCTTCTTCATGTCTCTTCTACATCAGCATGTGTCCCCTCTTCTTCATGTCTCTTCTACATCACCATGTGTCCCCTCTTCTTCATGTCTCTTCTACATCAACATGTGTCCCCTCTTCTTCATGTCTCTTCTACATCACCATGTGTCCCCTCTTCTTCATGTCTCTTCTACATCAACATGTGTCCCCTCTTCTTCATGTTTCTTCTACATCAACATGTGTCCCCTCTTCTTCATGTCTCCTCTACATCAACATGTGTCCCCTCTTCTTCATGTCTCTTCTACATCACCATGTGTCCCCTCTTCTTCATGTCTCCTCTACATCACCATGTGTCCCCTCTTCTTCATGTCTCCTCTACATCAACATGTGTCCCCTCTTCTTCATGTCTCCTCTACATCAACATGTGTCCCCTCTTCTTCATGTCTCCTCTACATCAACATGTGTCCCCTCTTCTTCATGTCTCTTCTACATCACCATGTGTCCCCTCTTCTTCATGTCTCCTCTACATCACCATGTGTCCCCTCTTCTTCACGTCTCTTCTACATCACCATGTGTCCCCTCTTCTTCACGTCTCTTCTACATCACCATGTGTCCCCTCTTCTTCATGTCTCCTCTACATCAACATGTGTCCCCTCTTCTTCATGTCTCCTCTACATCAACATGTGTCCCCTCTTCTTCATGTCTCCTCTACATCAACATGTGTCCCCTCTTCTTCATGTCTCTTCTACATCAACATGTGTCCCCTCTTCTTCACGTCTCTTCTACATCAACATGTGTCCCCTCTTCTTCATGTCTCTTCTACATCAACATGTGTCCCCTCTTCTTCATGTCTCCTCTACATCAACATGTGTCCCCTCTTCTTCATGTCTCCTCTACATCAACATGTGTCCCCTCTTCTTCACGTCTCTTCTACATCAACATGTGTCCCCTCTTCTTCACGTCTCTTCTACATCAGCATGTGTCCCCTCTTCTTCATGTCTCTTCTACATCACCATGTGTCCCCTCTTCTTCATGTCTCTTCTACATCAACATGTGTCCCCTCTTCTTCATGTCTCTTCTACATCACCATGTGTCCCCTCTTCTTCATGTCTCTTCTACATCAACATGTGTCCCCTCTTCTTCATGTTTCTTCTACATCAACATGTGTCCCCTCTTCTTCATGTCTCCTCTACATCAACATGTGTCCCCTCTTCTTCATGTCTCTTCTACATCACCATGTGTCCCCTCTTCTTCATGTCTCCTCTACATCAACATGTGTCCCCTCTTCTTCATGTCTCCTCTACATCAACATGTGTCCCCTCTTCTTCATGTCTCCTCTACATCAACATGTGTCCCCTCTTCTTCATGTCTCTTCTACATCAACATGTGTCCCCTCTTCTTCACGTCTCTTCTACATCAACATGTGTCCCCTCTTCTTCATGTCTCTTCTACATCAACATGTGTCCCCTCTTCTTCACGTCTCTTCTACATCAACATGTGTCCCCTCTTCTTCATGTCTCTTCTACATCACCATGTGTCCCCTCTTCTTCATGTCTCTTCTACATCAACATGTGTCCCCTCTTCTTCATGTTTCTTCTACATCAACATGTGTCCCCTCTTCTTCATGTCTCTTCTACATCACCATGTGTCCCCTCTTCTTCACGTCTCTTCTACATCACCATGTGTCCCCTCTTCTTCATGTCTCCTCTACATCAACATGTGTCCCCTCTTCTTCATGTCTCCTCTACATCAACATGTGTCCCCTCTTCTTCATGTCTCCTCTACATCAACATGTGTCCCCTCTTCTTCATGTCTCTTCTACATCAACATGTGTCCCCTCTTCTTCACGTCTCTTCTACATCAACATGTGTCCCCTCTTCTTCATGTCTCTTCTACATCAACATGTGTCCCCTCTTCTTCATGTCTCCTCTACATCAACATGTTGGTAAGGTAACCCCCCCCCCCCCCCCTTATCACCTGAATCTCCTCCTAGAGCACCATTGTGTTCTTTTTAACCAAATCTCTCTCAGAGGGGCGTGGGGAGGGGCTCCTTATTTTCATCTAAAGTAACAGACAGAGAATCAGCACTTTGGAAACAGGGCTGAAACAGAGGGGATTATGGGTAATGCTGCAATGATCTGTTTGGTGTTTCAGCCAATCAGAGACATGTTCTGTATATATCTGAGACCTGTAATATATTGATGAAAAACAGTATAATAGGGGACCTTTAAACGTTCTCTCTCACACTGAAATCTAACTCTTAATCCTGACTCGCCTCGTGAGGAAACGATGAGTGAGCTGCATGTTTTCCCCTGAGGACTAGGAGTTTGTAACAAACCCTTCTAACACAGGTGACGTTTGATGTAGATGAAGATGAGCAGCCATATTGGTTCCCTCAGGTGTGTGTGGCCTCTCGTGTGTGTGTGTGTGTGTGTGTGTGTGTGTGTGTGTGTGTGTGTGTGTGTGTGTGTGTGTGTGTGTGTGTGTGTGTGTGTGTGTGTGTGTGTGTGTGGTGTGTGTGTGTGTGTGTGTGTGTGTGTGTGTGTGTGTGTGTGTGTGTGTGTGTGTGTGTGTGTGTGTGTGTGTGTGTGTGTGTGTGTGTGTGTGTGTGTGTGTGTGTGTGTGTGTGTGTGTGTGTGTGTGTGTGTGTGTGTGTGTGTGTGTGTGTGTGTGTGTGTGTGTGTGTGTGTGTGTGTGCCCGCGCTGGAGAGCACCTCTGGCGGTGACGGCTAACGGTGTGGTGTGTCGTTTGATCCTGGACACCTTCTGACTTTCAAAATAATATGAAGTCACAGACTCACCGGGTGTCCTTAATCACATTTCACTCCCGTCTTTGAATATAAAAGTGTATTATTTCCACATAACTGGGGAAAATGGATTTGAAATATTCTGTTATCAATTAGGGCTGCTCAATCAATTTATTGTTTTATCACATATGGTCTAACAACATCCGAATCGCAGTAAAAGGAACATTTGGTGAAGGCAAAGTATCTGAAAATATCTGAATGAGGTATGGTAGAACTTCAGAGAAGTCCTGGCCTACGAACGATATACTACAGACTTAATAAATCAGTCAAAATAATCATCATTAGTTATTTTTTCTAAATGTTGCAGCCCTAATGTCAACAGCAGTGAGTATGAATCACACAGCTCCTCTCGGCTTCCTGCTCTGTGTGCAGTGAGTCTTTTCTCCGTGGCTTTTTATCAAATCTTTGCATATTCATGTGTGTTTTTCTGCCACCTCAGAACGAGTCGGAGAGACTTCAGAGCCAGCTGTCCAGCGTCCGGAGTCAACAGAGCCGAGACGCAGAGAAACATCAGCTGCTGGTGAGCAGCCTCAACGAGCAGCTCAAAGGGTAAGCTACGTATACGATACGATACGATACGATAATGCTTTAATGGTCAGATCAAGTCTGACATTTGACTTTCATCACAGCAGCTCCATGTGTAACATCAACAGACAAATATCAAGACACAATACATGAACAACAAACATTTAACAGCACAATCACTGAGAGAAAACATTATTCTCCGCACCAAATCACTCTTACTTCCTTTTCCTACATTGAAATATATCTGATCACATAGTTTGATTGTTTGATTGCCTTTTTTTTATATCACTTGAATAGTAATAAAGTATTTGTCCTTTTATTCGAAAGCTTTCTTAACTTAAAGTACAAAAGGCATCAAAATGTACTTAAAGGGGACCTATCATGCAAAATGCACCTTTGTACGTCTTTTATACATGAATACGTGTCCCCGGTGTCAGGGAACTCAAAGTGTCAGAAAACACAACCCTCTCTCTTTTCCTCCGTACCCAAATCTCTAAAAACGGGGCTTTAACGGATCTGATACAGATTTGAAAATAGTCTGACATCAGTGACGAGGAGCTCCGCCTATATGGCCAACTCTCCACCTATCAGGGGCATGAGAGGTTGCTGTGGCATGGTAACAGCATGGTAACAGCATGGTAACAGCATGGTAACAGCATGGTAACAGCATGGTAACAGCATGGTAACAGCATGGTAACAGCATGGTAACATGACGCTCGTAACTCGGCCCCTCCTTTGCAGGGGGGTCAGCTGCAGAGCATGCAGGGTGGAGGAGAGCAAAATAGAGCGAAATGAGGCATGGCTAAAATGCATGATCTGTTTGGTATTTTGAAAAAGAAAACGTATAAATATACCTTATACCTTATATGGCCCTACAATATATTATTCAAATATAGCATGATAGCTCTCCTTTAAGTTAAAGTACAAAAGGCATCAAAATGTACTTAAAGTACCAAAAGATAAATGACTCATTATCTCTAATAGCCTATTTCTAAATATGTTATATACTGGAATAATGAAGGAAAAAACATTCAGTATGTGGAATATATCAAGATAAACTTAGAAAGTTTACGTCAAATAATTAACATAATTTCCCAATTTGGGATGATTAAAGTATCACTCCATCTAAAAATGTGCAGAATTACACAAAACATATACAGTAAATATGTCAAAATGTATATATTAGTGAGTTTCATAAATACTTTTTACAGTTTTGCCTTGAAGTTACTCTTGAAGTGTTATCAGAGTCACTATGATGGTGTTTTTCAGACTGAGCAACACGCAGGAGTGTCTGGAAAGCTCGCTCATCGAGAAGGAGAACACGCTGGCCAAGACGTCGGAGAAACTGGAGCTCATCAACGGCCTGCGAGAATCTCTGAGTGACAAAGAAACTCAGTACAAAGACGTTTCTGACAAGCTCCTCCAGACTGAGCTCACCGTACGTTCTGACCCCTTATTTCTGTATACGTCACATTTCAATATTGAGCTGAATGTAATTGTGTATTTCTTGTGTTTTGTCCCGTAGCTGGAGAATGTTTCTCAGAAGGGCGGCGTCTCAGAGAAACAGTGCTCAGAGCTGAAGTCAGAAGTGATTGACGTCACTCAGAAGCTGAGCGTGTTAAAGGAGAAGGTGAGATTTTATAAATGAGAATATCAATCAGTTTTTGTTGTTTTTTTATCGCATTTTGGTCAATTTCCCGCTCTTTTGGACCATTTTATATACAGCATTTCTTGTTGTTATCTTGTCTTGTATCTCTCATGGTCATTTTGTATCTCTTTTTGGTCGTTAAGTATCTGATTTTGGTGATTTTGTATTGTTTATAGTCTGTTACAATAACCGTCCATGCTTCTGAGCGACCTTGCATTCATTGCATTAAATTGCATACATTGACATTTATGTTTTACTTCTTGACACTACCATAAAGAATATGTGATATGAGCTAATCAAATATGACTTTGGACTTGTGATAAATATCCTCTTGCCTCACATCACTCTTTTTATCTCCTCGTTTCAGGCCCAAAAGCAGGAAGTCACCATCGAAACTCTACAATCTGAGCTCGATCAGACCAACGAGGAGCTGGACAAACTAAATTCCGCCCACTTAGAAGAACGAGCCCAACTCATTCATGACCTTCAGAGCTGTGAGCGGGAAATCGACAGACTTAAAGATGTCGTAGTTGGAGAAGGACGAAGAGATATCAACGCTCTCCGGTAACATGGCGGAGTACGCGGAGCAGGTCACGATGATGAAGCAAGACATCAAACTCAAAGACGAGACCCTGGTCCGTGTGGAAACTGCTCTGAGTAAAGTAGAGCGGGAAGCCATGATTCTCAGAGAGTCGCAGACTTCAGAGCAGAAAGATCTGGATGGAAAGATCACAGAGCTGGTGGAGAAACTCAAAGACACTGAGATGGAGCTGCTTAACGCTAAAAAGGAAAGCGAGTGTAAGGTGACTGAAGTGGAACATCTGATAAGGCAAACTGAAGAAGATAAAAAAACCATTCAGGACCTTCGAGGGGAGATCCAGAAGCAGATCGTGAGCCAGCGTAACCATCTTACTGAATGTGAAACGCATATCGCTTCACTTCAGGAGCAGCTGACTTTATCCACACAAAAGCAGCAGGAATCAGAAGCACTCCTTCTGCAGCTCAAAGACAAAAACACCAGCAGCGAGCAGATACAGCAGCAGCTTAATGACAAGGAGCAAACGTATGAGAAAGAACTGAAATCGTCCAAGGAGGAACAGAACAAACTCTTGGCTCAGGTGGAGAAATACAATCACGAAATGCAGACGTTGTCCAACCAGTTAGAGGTGCAGGTACAGAGTGAGGAGCACATCAAAAAGGACATACAGGAGAAACTGGAAACCTATAGCAACACTGGAAAACAAACTGAAGAGCACAGATAATCAGGCTGAGGAGGAGAGGCAGAACTTCAACACTGAGATGCAAAACCGTGACTCAGAAAAGGAGAAACTGAGCAATGAACTCGAAAGCAAATCTGAAAATATCTCCAAACTCAGAGGTCTATTAAAAACCATGAAGACGGAGAAAAAGCAGCTGCAAGATAAACTCAAAGGGCTAACAGAGGAGCTGGAGCTACAGAAGCAGAATGCAAATGAACTGAATGGAAAGGTCACGTCTGCTCTTGAACTCAACAGCAGTCTTGAGAAGCAGGTAGATTGCCTTACGAAAGAGAAAGAGAGACTTGACATGGAAGTAACGGAAAGCGTAAAAAGTATTTCCGAAGTCTCACTTGAAAAGGATTCCTTGCAAGCCAAAGTATCCGCATTGGAAACTCAGCATTCACAAAACAACGCAATAATTGAAGAGCTACAAAGGGCTAAAGAAGATTTGACTCATCGCAGAAATGAGTTGAATAAAGTTCTTGAGCAAAGCACGCACTCAACCTCAGAGGTCCTCTTAGCGAAAACAAATGAATGTAGTAATCTCAGCCAGTTACTCAGGGAAAGGGAGGACAAGGTGACACATCTGCAGGAAGAAGTACAACGTGTATCTTCTAAGGTAGAGCAGCTTCAGCAGGACATGGCAGAAAAAGACCAGGTTGTAATAGAGCATCGAGCGCAGATAGAAACCCAACAAAACCAGCAAACACAACTTCAGGAAACTGTTTCTCTGCTGCGAGAACAGGAGAAAGGTCTGAAGTCTGGCTTAATGGAGAAGGATACGATATTACAAGAGAAACAGGAAGGGTACGACAGTTTGCAGAGTGAAATTACACAACAGAAAGATATTGTTTCTAAGCTACAAGCAGAAGCTGAATCACAAAATGTGGACCACTTAAAGCTTCGCACGCAGATTGAAGAGAAAGAAGGGAAGTTGAAACAAATGACGCAGCAGTGTCAAAAACAAAAAGACAAAGTCAACGATGCTAACAAATCTGTTAAGTCTCTGAGTGAACAAATCCGTGTCCTGGAAGAAAAGGCCGGACAGCTCGAAGCTGAAGCTGAACGCAGGCAAATGGAGATAGCTAGCTTAAACGGCAACATCCAGGCAATACGTGAGGAAAACCAGCAACTCCGTGCCGCTTGTGAAAGCAGAGAAATGCAGCTTTCTCAGCAAACACAACTTCTATCTGAACTTGATGGACGCCTTAAAGCGACTCTTGAACAGAACTCCAGTTTTAGCGTACAGATTAGCAGCCTAACAGAAAACAATCAGAGACTACAAGAGGAGTTAGCGCAGAACATCAAATCTGTTTCTGAGCTAGCCACTGAGAGGAAGTCACTCCAAGAACAAATCTCTGGGCTTCAAAGTCAAATCTCGGAGAAGCAGAAGATTATTGAAGAGGTGTTGAATGAAAAGGAGATGCTTACTGTTGCAGGAGATGAATTAAAAAAGATCCTGCGGGAAAGCGAAACGTCGAGCTCTGCAGGTTTGCTGGAGAAAACGAGTGAATGTGCCAATCTGTTGAAAACGTTAAGGCAGAGAGAAGGACAACTTCAAAGTCTAGAAGAGCAACTCGATGCCTTTAAGAAGCAAGTCAGTCAGCAAAGTTCACAGTTGGACGCTCAGCAGGACCAACTGCTGCAACTTCAGGATACGATATCAATGCTTCAGGAACAAGGATCTGTCCTCAAGTCAGGGCTGATGGAGAAAGACAAGATGTTGCAGCAGAAAGCAGAGGAGAGTAGTTTCTATCAGAATGAAGTTGTGCAACAGAAAGCCTTAATATCACAGGTGCAGGGTGAGTTCGAGTCACTCAGGCAAGAGTGCTCGGAGGCGAAACAGCAGATAGAGCAAAAAGAAAAGACTTTATATAACCAGAAAGACGAGCTGGACAAACGAAGCGAGTCGGTGATCTCGCTCAGCGGTCAGCTCGGTGCCGTGAACCAGAGCGCTGCAGAGGCAGAGGTTGAGATTACAAACCTAAAGCGTGCCGTAGAGAAACTCACTGCAGAAAACGGTCAGAAAGAGGAGCAGAGGAAAGCAGAGATCATCGATTGTAACGATAACATTCAAGCACTGAATGAGCAGAATACAAGATTGAAATCTGAGTTTCAGAAAACAGTGGCAGAGTTGTCCAAAGCACAGGACGAGGTGACACATTTCAAAACAGCCGTCTGGGATGTGGACAACAAACTTAAAACTGTAGACTCGGAAAAAGATAGGCTTAATTTGGCAATGCAAGAAAAACATGATTTGATCCAGAAACTCAACAGTAGGATTAGTGAGCAGGAGGAGCAGCTGAAACGGAACGAAGACAACAATGTCAGTTTAAAAGCAAAGGTTTCAGAGCTTGAAGAATCTGTGTTTAGACTCAGAGGTGAAGTCGATAGTCTTTCTTCAGAGTCTTCTATCCTGAAAACTACTTTGGAGAAAAAAGAACAATCAAGTCTTGAATATCAAAGTAGTTCTTCAGCTGCCGTCGAAAACCTCAACTCAAGTCTACAAACCAAAGAGGTGGAGTGTGAGAGCTTGAAAGAAAAGATGTCCCACCTTGGGGAATCGATCACAAAGCTCAACAGCACCCTCCAAGTTCAGATGTCTGAAGCAAAACATCTGAGAAAGGCCTTGGGAAAAAAAGAGTCCGCTCTTCAGGAACAATCAAAGACCCTTCAGGAAATCCAGAGACGATCCGATGAAGCTTTGCTCTTCAAATCTCAGTTCATGGAAAGCACAGGCTTGGTGTCACAGCTACAGAATCAAATCCAACTGCTGTCCACCGAGTCTGCAAACCTCAGACAATCAGCAGAAGAAACACAAAGTGCCTTTAACAACCTACAAGAGAAGTATGCAGCTAACTTAGAGGAGCTGCAGGATGTGAGACAGCAAGTGTCCCAAAGGACTGATGAGGTGTTAAACCTTCGGAGGTTATTGGACGAACATCAGACGGCAAAGACGATGGTAGAAACTCTGAGAAATGATTTATCTGAGACGCATCACAAACTCCAGAAAACAGAAGAGTTTAACTCCATTCTGTCAAACGAAAAGGACGAGGCGTTTGCTTCTCATCAAGCAAGCGTTTCACTGCTGACCGTCGAAATAGACAGACTCAAATCACAACATCTTCAAGTCGTGTTACAGATGAATGCTCTCACAGAAAACGTTGAGCAGAGGGAAATGGCTCTCCATGCGATTAACAGTCAGTACACATCGCAGGCCAAACACGCATCCCAGCTGGTGTCGGAAATGCAGAAACTAGAACAGCAGAATAAGAGGCTAAATGAGGAGATTAGTTTGTCAAAGAACGAGCACCAGAAGCTTCTTACGGCCGTCAGTAATGAAAACACACATTTACAGGAGGAGGTTAGGAAACATCTAGCAGAGAAGGAGGGGCTGGAAAGGAGTCATCATCAAATATTGGCCTCCCAGGTTCAAATGGAGCAGCAGTCCAGCAGCACAAAGGAGAAAATGACGTCCGAGAAGGAGAGCCTTCAAGCTAAGGTTAGTGCCAAAGATGAGGAAGTTTCTCAATTAAAAGAAAACATTCACAGGATCGAGCAAATTCTGCAGGATTCTGAGCAAGAGTGGCTCTTAGTTTTGGATAAAGAGAAACAGGATAGGAACATACTCGCAGAACAATTGCAAAGTGTTGAAAATGAAATGAAGTCTAAAGATGTTAAAGTTAATGCTCTGAAAGGAGACCTGGACAGTTTGCAGGAGAAACTAGCAGAGGCTTCATCTGCGATTAGGCAGGGGTCTGATCAACTGCGCGCCAAAGAGCTGGAGGCAGCAGCATCCAGGATCCAACTGGAGAAGGTTTTAGCTTCGTTCCAGGAAAAGGATAATGACAATGATAATTTGCAACAGGCTCTAAAAGCGGCAGAACATGAGTTACACAAACTTGTAGTGATCAGGAATGGTACCAACACAGATTTGTTAGCTAAAGGATCAGCAGATTTAGGGACAGAAAAGGCCTCTTTAAAGGACATGATTACACAATTACAAGAAAGTCACCAGTCGGAGGTAGCTGCTCTGAAACATGAGTTGGATAACACCGTGACACAATTACAAAACACCCAGAACACACTTGAGAAAGGAGAGAGGAGTAATGAAGAAAAGGGTCAACAAATGTCACTTTTGCAAGAGATGGTCGAGCATCTACAGACAAGGCTCAACGCTGAGTCAGAGAAAGTGAAAGAAGCTTCTGTCAAACACTCGTCTCTACACTTTGAATCACAAGAGAAATATGAGCAGATCAACTGTTTGAGCATTCAGATAAGTCAGCAGAAGGAGCTTCTTGCTGGACTCAGTCAGCAGTTAAGGGATAAAGACGCATCCATCGCCCAACTCATAGAATCAGCCTCAAATGAAAGGGTGAAACTCGGTGAGGAAAAATCATCTCTAACGGCACAATTGGAAAGCATGGAGCGGGAACACAACACCTCCATGAAGAAGCTTGAAGAGATGTCTCAGCAGTTAGAGGAACAGATTTCAAGCTCTCACAGTGAAATAGACACCATGAGTGCAGAGAAGATCGAGCTGATTAAGAAAAACGACGATCTAAAGAGTGAACTAGCCAAGGTGTCTAAAGAGAAAGACGCAGCGAAGAAGAAGCTCCAAGCTGCTCTCGTTGTGAGAAAGGATCTGATGAAGAAAATCGAGCGATATGAAAGCCAGAAAGAAGAGAGTGAAAACATTAAAACGGAGGTTTCACTTTTACAGGATAAATTACAGGAAGTAAATAATCAAGTCCAGGCGTCTGCTCAGATATATGAAGAACATGTGTCAGTTCTTGAAAAGAGACTTCTTGAGAAAGAAGGAGAGATTCTTGAACACAAACTTGGAAGTGAAAGACTTGTGGAACAATTACAGTCGGAAAAACAAGTCTTGAAAGCCACACTCAACGAGAAAGAACTTTGTTTGTCAGAAACTTTGCAAACGCTGAATGAGAAAAGCTCTCTGCTGGAGAAGCTGCAGTCCACTGCTTCAGAGAGGGAGGAAGCATTCGACCAAGAGAAGACAAGCTGGGTGCAAAAATTAGAAGACCTTCAAAATGAAATAAAGACATATCAAGATGAGATAAAGGTCAGATCGTCCTCCACATCTACTGCTGTTGATTTAGAGAATGAGCTTGCTCAAATCAAGCTTGAAAAGGCAAAGCTACAGAAAAAGGCTCAGGCTGCCTTGCTGGCACGCAAAGAGACCCTGAAGAAAGCTCAAGAAAGTGAAAATAAATTAACTCAAGAGCTAGCCGAACTGAAAGACGACTACAAGGCTCTCCTGGAGCAGCGCTGTCAGCAGACCAATGAGTTAAACGCCGTCCAGTTAGACTTCGACGAGAAGGTCAGGGAACTGGAGGAGCTCCATAATAACTCTGTGTCTGATCTAGATGAGCTTAAAACCTTAAGACAGCTTGTCGAGGAGAGGGATACAACTCTCCAAGATCTCAAGATGGCTCTGGCGGAGAAAGAGAGCCAGTGCCATTCTCTTTCTAACCTGCAGAAAGAGCTGGAACATGTTAAATCCAAATGTGAGAGTATGTCTCTTGAGATGGCAAGAAAAGAAGAGGTAGAGATTGACTTGGAGAAAGCTCAGGCAGAAGTAACAGAGAAAACAGAAGAAGTTGAGAAATATCTGGAAACAATTAGAGTTGCTGAGCTGCAGAGCCAACGGGAGAAGCAAGCTTTATTGAATGAAAATACATCTCTGGAGACCCGTCTGAGCATCGCTGAGTCTGCACTGGAGGAACGCATGCACGCAAATGAAGGAAAATATCTACTTTTGATGGAGGAGAACAAGGCTCTTTTGGAGAACAGTAATACGTTGAAGGTGGAACTCGAGACAACAGTTGATTTAGTTTCACAGAAATCCTCAGACGTTTCAAACGTACAAAAGACTTTAGCAGAAACACAGCAGCAGCTCAGTGACGTAAGAGGCAATTTGACTGAGGAGCTTGAAAAAGCACAACTTCATTGCACTGAAAAACAATCACATTTGGATTTGTTGAAGCAAGAAATAGAAAATGCTTACAGATTAATAGATGAGCTCCGAAATGAGGTAACCACCCTGGATAAGCAACTAAAGGAGAAAGTGAATGAGCAGGTACATCAGAACAAGCCTGACATGTATGCCGATGTTAACGAAGAAGTCGTAAGCTTGTCTTGCAAAAGTGCTGAAAACTTTGAAGTGAAACTAAAGGAGAGAGATGATGCCTTGCTTGTTTCTCAGGCTCAAGTTTCGGAAAAGGAAGAACTAATTGCTGCACTTGAACTGCAATTACAACAACAAATGAAAATAAATGAAACCACCATTGAAAAGATGAGAACAGAGTCTGATGAGTTTCAGAAATCTCGAGACAATGGCGGCAAAATGAATAATCAGGACAACCAAAGCAAAGTTGCTCTCCTAACCAGGAAACTTCAAGCAGCTTTACTTTCCAGAAAAGAACTCTTGAAGGAAACTGCGATGCTAAAGGAGGAAGTAGAAAAGCTGTCAGAAAAACATGTAGCTAACGAAGCCGACTACTTCACTCTGGAGGCATCAGTGCTGAAGTTAAAGCAACAAAATACGGACTTGGAAAGCTCTGTGTCATCCCTAAACAAGGAGAGAGACGGGCTGAGGACTCACGCTGACGGCATCTTAAATGATAATCGCAGTTTATCCGCAGCCTGTGAAAGCTTGAAGCTAACCATAGAAAACACCACACAGCAGAAACAGGCTTTCTCCTGCCAGCTGGAATCTCTTAAAGACTCTCAAACAGACGAGCTTACCAAGTGGAAGTCAAAACACGCCGAGCTGAAACAAGAGTACGAATCTCTTTTACAAGCTTATGAAAATGTGAGCAGTGAAATGGACAAGATGAGACAGCTTTTGGAAGGGGCTAAAAGAGATAGGCAGGAAGCCCTCAGGAAAATCCACAAACATGAATCTGAGATGGAGATTCTGGAAAAGCAAGCGAGAGAGATGGAGGAAGAAAATGGAAGAATTACAGAGAAGATGCACGTATTTTCCAAACAGAAACGGCAGAAGATTGAGGAGCTGGAGGATGAGAATCAGAAAATGAGAAAAGAGCTGACTGAGCTTGAAGAAAACCACAAAATGGCGACGTGCGAGATGACTGTAAAAGATCAGCAATTAGAGACCGAGATTTGCCGACTTAAAGAGAATCTCACTGAGTTTGAGGTTGAAAATAACCAATTGTCAGAAAAGCTTGAAGAAGCCAGCTGTTCATTGGAAGTGAAGCACTCCAAATCAAATGACTACTCAAACAACATGCAACTAAAACTTGATGAAGCTCTGAGTTTGAATAACTCACTGACAGCTCAGATTGAATCCCAGAAAACAGAACTCGGTGCTCAGTTGGAAATGTACAACTTGTTACTGAAAGAGAAGCAACACCTTTCTGGAAGAATTGAGTCGATACAGAATGATCAGGAAGCTCAACTGGGACAGAAAGATGATGACATTAAAGAGCTCAAAGACATAATCAACAGACACAATCGAGAAACTATCAACCTGAATGAGAAGGTGAGAATCCTAGAGGATGATAAGTCACTTCTGCAGGAGGAGCTTGAAAATGTTCAAGAGATTTCAGACAAAGTTAAAAATGAAAATGAATATTTGGAAACTGTGATCCTCAAGAACACTGAGAGGATTGACGATCTGACCGAGTCGGTCTCTGTGTTGCAAACCCAGAACAAGCAGCTGTCCTCTCAGCTAGCCGTCAGCAAAGACATGAGCAGTCAAGTTCGCCAAGAGAAAGAACAGGAGCAGCTGAAGTTAGTCCGGGAGTTTGAGGAGAAGCTGAAGACGGTTCAGCGAGGCAGTGAAGGCACTAAAAATGTGAAGAAAGAACTGCAAGAGCTTCTCAAAGAAAAGCATCAGGAGATCAATCAGCTTCAGCATAACTGCATCAAATACCAGGAACTGATTTTAGATCTAGAGAGGGCTCTGAAGACATCTCGGTCAGCCCGTGAACAGTCTGAGAAAGAAATGAAGAAAAGCTCGGAGAAAATGGCGGTATTAGAGGAGAGAAGTAAACAAGTTGAAGCTGAGCTGATAACACATAAGAATCTCCTCCAGGAGGCCACAGCAACGATGTTGAGTGTCGAGTCTGAAAGAGATCAGCTGGCTCTGGACATGTCAGAGGAAAGTAAAAAGTTTGAGGATCAGCTCATAGAGAAAAGACAACAACATATAGATGAGATGCAATACAATTCCTACATGGAGAATCAAGTCATGTTACAGCAACAGATTGATGATCTTAAGGAGTTAAAGGAGAAAGAAAGTCAGAAGGTGAATGAACTGAGGCAGCAGCTCGACTCTCAACATCTGCAGATAATCACTTTCAAAAGATCAGCGGAGACGGATGAGGCGAAGCTCTCGGCTTTATCTGCCACTCCTCAGGGAGCAGATGCTTCCAAACTGTGGAACGATTTGTACCAAAAGACGTTACACGAGAAAGATAACCAGCTCCTAGAACAGGGTTTCGTGATCAAACGATTCCTGGATGACATGAGAGTGAAAGATAAAGAGATGAATGAGGTCCGAGTGACCAAGTCCAGACTGGAGAGGACTCTCAATGAATACTCTATGGCCGCCGCCGCTCAGCAGAGACAGCTCTTCATCATGAGCGCGAGCAACGCTGAATTTAGTGAGACTGCAGAGCTCATGGATGTGCAGGTTAGGGAACTGGGTGCGCACGCTGATAGATTAGAAAAAGATAAAAGCGTTCTAAACCGAGAACTGGCTGACAAAGAAGGTATCATTTCTCTGATGCAGCTAAATCTACAACAATTAGAGAAGTTAAACGAAGACTCGGATGCTCAGCTGCTCCTTTTACAGTCTGAAAATGACAAAGTCCAAGCTGACTTTGAGAAGCAAGAGGGACTTTCACTGCAACTCAAAACACTCCTGCATAGCAAAGACTCTGAGATCTCCTCCTTACTGTCGTGTAAAGACGGACAGATGTCAGGATATCTAGAACAACTCCAGACCAATTATCGTACCCAGGTCGCGCTTTATGAGGACCGGTTAACCTCTTCACGCTACCAGAGAGAAAAGGCTGACCAAGTGTTGAGAGGTCTTGAAGCAAAGGTGAAAAGTCTGCAAATCCAAGTTACCAAGTCTAGCCAGGAAAAAGAGCAGATGGCTGCTAAGATGGAGTCCTTTAAAAACTCGATGGCGTCTTTACAGAGTGAACGGGAGCGATTGATGTCAGAATACAGAATACTTGAAGCAAAGAGTCAGTTAAGTTTCATGGGTAAAGACGGCTCTGCCGACGGGGAAGGTGGCGCCACCAAAGGCCTTAAACATGAAATAAGGAAGCTGTTGCACCAAATGGATGATCTCAACTCTGAGAACGCTATGCTCAGGGCACAACTGGTGCGCTACAGAGAGGATTTGAACCAGGTTTTATTCCTGAAGGACAACCAGCTGAAGATCCTGCTAAAGAAGCAACAGGATGTGATCAAAGACCTCGAAAGCCAAAAGGCGGCAGCAGAAAAACAGCAACGAACGTCTCAGTTGGAACTTCAAAAGGAAGAAGAAGCAAGCAATACTTTTAAAGCAGAGACCTTGAAGCTAACAGCTCATGTCTCAAATCTTGAAGCTGATGTTGTTACTCTTAAAAAGGAAAAAGTCTCGACGAATAAAGGCAAAGTGATTAGTGATTTGCAGGAAGCAGTGGCAGCCAAAGCAGCTGAATGTAATGACCTCCAGCAGAGAATTCTCTCTCAGAAACTCCTCAATGACGAGCTCAAGGAGAAAATGCAGCTGTTGGAAAAAGAAACGGAGAAAAGCCTTGGTGAAGCTGAGGACAAATACAACAGTGAGCTGGACGCCTTCGAGCGCGAGGTGGTGCTGATGAGAAACGAGCGAGAGACGGCCGATGGACGAGTCGCCGATCTCGCGAAAGATCTCTTGGAAATGGAGCAGCAGCTATCGGAGGCTAAAACACAAAGCAAAAACACCAAGGCTCAGAATGA